TAAACTAAGTGGAACATTTTCATTTTCATTTTCATTTTCATTTTTTCATTTCTGTTCACACATTTTTTCCACAAATAATATACAAAATTCGATTCGATCTGTTATTTTTCCATTCATTCATTCATTCATCGATTTGTGACATTTTTTTTCCATTCTCTCTTATCATAGAGGCGGTTTTTCACCGATGATAATCACCGATATATATGGCAAATCACCGTTTTGACTTTTTGATTTTTTTTTCTCATTTGTTGTTGTTGTTGTTGTTGTCGTCGTTGTCGTCGTTGTCGTCGTTGTTGTTGTTAATCGATCCAAAATAATATATAAGTGACTGACGTCAATAATTTCGTGGATCATTTCTCTCTCTTTCTCTCTGGTTACCTTTTTTTTTGTTCACAGTCAAAATTTTTTTCAGTGTTTCTCTCTCTCTCTCTCATACTCATTTACCATTTTGACTAATTGTGACGTTTTCTCTCTCTCTCTCTCTCTCTCTCTCTCTCTCTCTCTCTCTCTCTCTTGGTGACAATTGAATAGCGACGGCAGTAATCGCAGTGGTTATTGTTAACCATTTTAATTTTTTTTTGTTTTGTTTTGTTCTCACATCAAAAAATCTAATTGGTGTGATTGTTTCCGCCATTTTCTCTCACCCTGTCTCTGTGTGTATGTGTGTGAAATAAATTAAAATGACAAATTGACCACACCTAACCACTGTAGACAATCAATCAGTAATAATAGTAGTAGTAGTAATAGCAGTGGTATTGAAAATTTGAATGAAAAACTTAATTACACTTGATTTGAGTTAATTAATCACATTGATGACAAATGAAAAAAAAAAATTTTTCAGTCCATTGATTGAATTCTCAGGTGAATTGTATACACGTACACGTACACGTGTGTGTGTGTGTACACGTATACAATTGGTTCATCTCATATTTTCAGATGATGATCAATTCGGGTGCTTACAAAATTTTCTATTCATTGTCAATAATCGATAAGTGGTGTGTTCGGCTACTGCTGCTGCTGGTTTCATATCAAAAATCAATGAATTGAACGTTTTAAAATATGAAATTTAAAAAAATTCATATGGTCGGTTTAGTTTGTGACAAACCCAAAGATCAAAAAGTCAATTTTGAACCAACAAAAAAAAAAAATTAATCAACAAACTTGTTGTTTGTTGACACAGATGGTTTTTTTTCGAACAAAAAAAAATGGCGGCTGATGATAAAAAAAAAGATGAATGTGCGTGTGTGAAATTGATATTCAAACTTCGGCAACTGAAAAAAATTCTTCATTTTTTTTTTGGTAATACGAATCGAATTTCATTCGAAGAATTTTTTTTTTTCAAAATTAAAAAAAAAATGACTTAAATGACTTGTCAATTGAGCTACTACTGCTACTACTACTACTACTAAGCACCCAGTGATAATTTTTTTTGTCCACTTGCAGCAGCGGCGGCAGTAATGGTCAGTTAAACTTCCAGAAGCTAAAAAAAAAAAACAAATTCGTAATGGTCAATTGCCGAAAGTCGATAATTTATTTTATTTTTTTTCTGCGTACTTTACATGAATTTTTTTTTTGTTCAGTTCAACTCAATAGTTTGATGATGATGATGATGATGATCTTTATTGGATCAATTTCAAAATGACCAAATACCGCCTAAAACCATTTATAACACTCATTCACTGTAATAGAAATTGATTCCCTCTCTCTCTCTCTATCTATCTATCTATCTATCTATCTCTATCTATTCAATTCATTCTCTTTTGGTGTTGTGTAAATGGTGTAAAAGATAACCCACTTGAAAATGAAAAAAAATTTTGATACCGTTAAATGTCATCCACCTTATGTACGTAGTACACACTTGGTGACAATATATTTCAACAACAACAACAACAACAACAACAACAATGTGATAGATATATATATATATAGTGAGAGATGATGATGATGACAAATAGAAAAAGCCGAAAAAATAAATGTCAATCCAATAACAGTTTGACATACACACACACACACACAACAGTACCAGATCGAGAGAGAAAGAGAAAGAAAAAAAAAAAATCACCGAAACCAGAAAGTACCAGAAACATTTACCCATTATATGTGTATATATATATATGGCCAACAAAATGTGATGACAATGAATGAATTTTTTCCTTTTTTTTTCTTTTTGATTTTCACAAGTTTTTGTCACTGCACTGTGTGTGTGTGTGTGTGTGTGTGTGTGTGTGTGTGTGTGTGTGTGTGTGTGTGTGTGTGTGGAAGATTGAAAAGCAGCCTACATTGAAACCAAACACAATTGTGGGGTGACATTTAGATTTTTGCTTTCTTTCTTTCTTCTTTTCCACAAATTCAATTCGATTTGGATCGATAAAAAAAATCCTTGTATTATTCAGAAATTCAATTTTCATTCAACGATCAAAGTTTACAAACCAACAAAAAAGTAAAGCCAATTTGCCCAAATTTGAATTTTGTTATTATTGTCATTGATTTTTTTTTCTTTTTTTCTTATGCTCTAAATGTCAACCTTTTTCTTTTGTTACCTAAATTACCGTTTTTTTTTGTATTCTTTGTCCAGTGGACCCGATCGTTTTTTTTTTTTTTGGTTAAAATGAGAAGAAATTGGTGGATTCATATCACACAAATAGTGAGCGCCTTCAAATGGAACAAAATTTTCTAATCATCATGATCATGATGGAAAAAAAAGGCGAAAAAAAATCGTAAATCGTCCGTGTAATAAGCGCGTCTATTTTTTTTCACAATAATGATGACGATGATCCTTCCAATTAGATTCAATTAAAATTACCATTTACATACATACACACACACACACACACACACACTGGTAGTATAGTGGTAATAAGTGGGGGCTGGTTTTTTTCCTTTTTTTTGAATATAAAGAAAAATCAATCAAATTGAACGAATCAAATTAATCACAGTGATGATGATGATCAATAAAAAGGTATTGGATTTGCTTTTGGATTTTTTCATCATCAAATTTAAATTCAAAAAAAAAATGGAGAGAAAAAAAAATTGGGCCATCAATTATCAAAAAAAAAAATAGGAAAAATTCGAAATGATCCAGGATCTCCAGTATTTTTTTTTCTCAAGTGGTTCCACACACACACACACACATATTGTTGTTACAATTTTTAGTTTGTTGGTTAATGCAGCTTGTTTCCTGAAATAAAAAAAAAATTCAAGTATCCATATCCAATATATATATGTATGGAGAAATAAAAAACATGAAAATGAAATGAACAAAATGAACACACAAACACACGGACACTCGACAATTGTTATTAAAAAAAAAAAAAAAAATTTTTCTTCCATTCTTTGTTCGTTTGTTCTGGTTGTTATTTTTTTTTGTTCATTTCATTTCTCCTGTTTATACTTCTTTTTTTTTCAGGATTTTCACGCAAGTGTTGATGGGTCTTTTTTGTTGTTGTTGTTGTTGTTGTTGTTGTTGTTGTAATTTTTTTCCGGCCTTCACAATAACAAACACATAATCGATGGCGTCAACAATAACAACAACAAATCGATAAAATGGACGTGAAACAAAAACAAAAAAAAAATATTCATATGTGATGCGAAATGTAAATCCTTGTAGCTAGAATTACAAGAATTGTGCATCAGTAATGATAATGATGATGATGATGATTCCAAAATCTGAAATCTGAGAGAAGTTTTGTTTTGGTCAAACAATCACATCATTAAGTTTTGAATGTATTAAAAACACGACGATGACGACGATGATGATGATGATGATGGTCATCAATTGTGGATTGTGGATGTATGAATGGTATACATTTGATAAGGAAAAAAAATGGGAAAAAAAGAATCCATCGATTTGACTTTTAAAACACATGAACAAAGTCGATGTTTTTTTTTTTTTGCTTACAGTAATTCGTGATGAGAATTTCATATATATTTGTCTTTTGTCTGTCTCAAAGAATTCGAAATGGAAATAGAATATGAAAATGCTGGAATAATCATTGGTTGAAAGTAAATGGATATATGAAGTGAAAAAAAAAATTTTTCGTTTTGTTTTTTTGATTCATGATGGTGATTCTTTTTGGCAATTTCTGGATTATTCAAGTATCTCTGCCTGCCTGTGTGTGTGTGTGTGTGTGTGTGTGGGAACGATGAATGAATGAATGACCAAATGGAACGAATGAATTGAATGAATGAATGAATGAATGGATGACCATGATTTGATCTTGTTGTTGTTTTTGAACGGAAAAAAGAATTTTTTTGGGCAATAAATCAGCTGTCCATTTTTTTTTGGCTTTTGAATTTGTGAATCATAATGATGATGATGATGATTATTCGAATGGAAAATGAGCGGAAAACGAGTATAAATTGCAATGTCGTTGATTTTTCTTTTGTTTTGGTTTGTGGTTTAGAATAGAAAAAAAAGAAGGTATCGGTCTTGAATAATTTGGTCATCATGATGATGATTATGATTGAATCGATAGACCAGTGAATATATAAACCACTGACCAGCCAACCAACACCCGTAGAAATGGCAATCATGCGAATTGATGTGGAATTTGTTCAGTAAAGAGAATGAATAACAAAAAGTCAATTGGTTATCCAACCAGAAACAAAACACGAATCCAATGGCCAAACAAGATGATGACTGATTCATTTGATCGAATGAATAAATTTATTGGGAAATTTTTGTCTGTAATACGTTTACGTGGTGGTGGTGGTCATAAATCATCCTTTCCAGAAGATAAGAACCAGGAACAATGATCACGATGAATCGTTGAACGCGTAAAACACGAATAGAATTTTTTTATTTCGGAGAAAATTATTCCAAACTGAATTTTTGGCGTCATCTATCGTCGTCGATGGATATAAAGATCCAATCCTTTTTTTTATCGTATCGATACAATCGATATTTAGTGAACATGTTTTCTGTTTATGTCATGTTCCATTTATTATAAAATTCATCATTCGATCTTGTTGATGGTAAAAAAATTTTGATTGATTGACTTTTTTTGAATAGTTTTTACTCATTTCCGATTTATAATTATATCGGCCATATGTACAAAAATCATTTGTGATCTACCATACAAACAAAAAAAAAACAAAACAATCAATCAATCAATCATTCACAATTAATCCATTTAATCCATAAGATCGAATCGAAAAAAATTGAGAGAAAAAAAATGAGACATTTTAATGAATTACTTTTGTATGTGATATTGTTGAAATTATTATGTCAATTTGTCGATTGTCTTTATGAAGATCAAATTGGAAAATTTGATTGGCGACAACAGTTTGTTGGACGTGTCGATCATGTTCTTCGAGCTTCTGGTATGTATGAATCATCATTTATTTGATTGAATTAATTGTTTTTTTTATTTCATTTTATTTTACAATTTGTGTCACAAGATATATGGCAAGATCATCAATTGTTAATCACATCATCGCATAGTGGTTCATTATCTGGTCTATATCTTCGAAATGGTTCGATAAATTGGCGACATTTATTGGAAAGTTCATCAATAGATTTTCTATCATCATGGCCAAAATCAGCAAATTTTTCTTGTCCAGTATTATCGGTGAATGGACGTGGCCGTTGGATTCGTTGTTGGAAAACGTCCGGTGTTCTTTTATCTGAACATTTTTTACCTGATGATTTTGTTAATGAAATTGAAAAAGATCCTAGGTTTGTGTTGTCAATGTTTTTATTAGTATTCGTTGTTGAACTTGATTGGTTAATTTTTTTTTTCATTTTTCAGTAATTATGACTCATTATTTGCAATGATTCGTCGTGGTGCTCAACAAAAACCGGCATTATTGATAGCGAAAATTTCCCGTACAAATTATCTAATTGAATTTTTTCATTATCAATTTCAATCAAAAGAATTACAATCGATAGCCCGATTAATGGCCGGTAAATGGTTGGATAATAGTGAATGTCATATGATCAATGCCGATTATATGATTTGTGTGGATCAAAAAAATCGTGAATTTCAATTTATTGATCTCAATGATGATAAATCATCAACAAGGCAATTTAAACGCATTCCGTTGTCCACATTTGGTTTGACAGCAAACCTTGAGAAAAACAATGATAACAAGATTAGCATACAATTATTACCCGATTTATTTGGTGATAAAACGACAACAATATCGAAATCTAATCATCTAATTTCTAAATATTTTGCCCTAAATCTGGGCAATGGGCAAGGTATTGTGATGTTTAAAATTGTACCCGAGCTTCAAGATAATAATGGTGGTGCTAGTGGTGGTGCCTCAATACGTTTGGTGAAAATATTTCCATATGCCATACGTGTTACAATCATTCCGTTGATCTCATCATCACAAGAACCATCAATTAACATTACATCCAGCCGTAATAGCGAGACGGATAACTTGGAATTTGGAGTGGCTGTTTTATTTACAAAATCGGATGCAATACCATATGAAGATCAACGTGATGCTCAAAATCAGCAAAAAGTTTTTGCCATTAAATTGGCCATATTTCATCTGGAATCTTGGGCTGAAGTTACATCGATTTCATCGAAATCAATATTATTTGAATTTGGTGGAAAAAATTCACTTTCACCAATTGCATCGAATGGTAAACTAGTCAAACGTTTAGATCAACAATGGCAAATTGATCGATTCGAAATTATTCCAATTCGAACAATGATACAGAATAGCCGTTCTGGACGTGATCAATTTCGTTATACATATAAAATGTTAATAACAACTGTCGATGGAACATTGATTGTAACAAATCTGATGGGTAAAATCAATTGGGCACGTGAAGAAGCATTGGCCGAAATAAATAGTCTTGTAATACTTGATCTACCACTATCTGAAGATGATGCAACATTGGAACAAGAATATGGATTTGATGAACGTAATACAAATATTATATCAATGTTTGTACATCGTATTAAATCACAATTATTACAATTAATGTCATTCATACGGCAAACTCAACATAGTTTAATGCATAGTATGACAATATTGAAACGTTCTCAACATCGTAATCAACAACAATTGGATGATGAAAATTCACATTATTCTAATATTGATCAAGATGATTCTCAATCGACAAATCAATTTGATGATGATGATGACGAAGAAGAAGAAGTATTGATTCGTGATTATTTTGGTTTCCATAAAGTGATTATTACACGAACAAAATCGGGAAAAATATTTGCCTTGGATACAATAACTGGCCGTGTTATATGGTCACGACATGAACCTTGGTTAGCTGTACAAAATAATGATGTACAATTTCCAATATGGATACAACGAACCAATGCTCATTATCCACATTCAGCTGTTTGTACCATATTGAATGATTATGATGATCATCGTACATTTCTTTATTCATTTGATCCGGTCACTGGAACCATACTGGATTCACATTGGTTACCATATCGTACTATACAAGCAATGTTAATACAAACAGTGCATGATGAAGAATTTCAGCGACCATTATTATTATTTGATTCTGAATATAATGCACATTTATATCCAGAAACAATAATGACAAAGAAATTATTTGCAAATGTAGCTGCAAATCATTTTATGATGATGGTGAATAAAACCGATGCATTATTGACTGGTTATAGTTTCGGTGCTACCACTGATGATGATGGTCCCAAAGCAAATCCAATATGGAGTTTTCGACTTCCACATGAAATTAATAAATTAATATCGATTAAATCATTATTTAAACGGCCACATGAAAATGTTCATTCACAAGGCCGTGTACTTGGTGATCGTAATGTTCTTTATAAATATTTGAATCCAAATCTTGTGGCCATATTGGTCGAATCATTGGATACACAGGAAAAATGTAAGTTGAAAAATTTGAATTCAGGTTTTTTTGGCTATAAATTTTTTTTTATCCGTTTAGCACTTATAACAATGTATTTAATTGATTCAATTACCGGCAATATTATCTATTCAATTGTACATCGACGTACACGTTGCCCTTGTCAGGTGGTTCATTCGGAAAATTCAATCATTGTAAGCTTGATTGATTGGTTTGTTTTGATTCTAATTTCTTTCTGTTTTTTTTCTCTTCCATTTTTGTTTCAGTATTCATATTATAATGATAAAATGCGTCGTAATGAAATATCATCCATTGAATTATATGAAGGTTTTAATCAAGTAAATTCGACGGCATTTTCATCGATTGGTCGCGATTTATGGGCCATACCAAGTGTTGAACAAAAATCGTTCATCTTTCCTACCGGTATTGGTATAATGACCGATACAGAAACAATGAAAGGAATCACTAGTAAACATATCTTAGGTACGGTTTTTTCAATGATTTTTTTTTGTGGTTGGATTTCATAATTCATTTATTTAAAATTTAGTTTCATTACCAACTGGTGGAATATTGGAATTACCACGTGCCTTTTTGGATCCACGTCGGCCTATAAAACCAACACAAGAACATGCCGAAGAAGGTCTTATTCCATATGTACCTGAATTGCCTATACCTTCGGAAACAATTATCAATTATAATCAAACAGTTTTTGCTATACGTGGTATTGTAACTGCACCAGCTAGTCTGGAATCAACATCGCATATCTGTGTCTATGGTATCGGTATGTTTTTTTTATCTGTTATTAAAGTTTTACATATAAATTATAATCAATCATCATTTCTTTTTTTTTCTTTATCACATATATCCATCTCCAGATATTTATTATACTCGTGTAACACCATCAAAAACATTTGATATTCTTAAAGATGATTTTGATCATTTACTTATTATGGCCGTTTTATTATTATTAATCATAATGTCTTATTTGGTTAAATATTTGGCTGCAAAAAAATCATTGAATGCTGCTTGGAAATGAACCATATATATATTCTGACTATTCACAATTATAATAGTCTAGTCATCAATCACTTGAAATCTAGAAAATTTAATTCAAAACTTCAAAAAAAAAACATGTCCCAGTAGAAAATCATTCTATTCATCTTTTTCATTTTCAGCCATTTTTTTTATACTGTCAAATTCAAAAACAAAAAAAAAAAACATAAACTATTTGTATATGTATAAATTACATTTTTGGTACACAACACACACACACACACACACACACACACAGATTATTAATCAGATATGTAACAAGTGGATATAAAAATTAAAAAAAAAATAAAAATAAAAAAAAATTACAACATGTACATCATCAAACATCATCATTTGATTTGAATTTTCTGATAATTTTTTTTTTTTTGGTTGATTTTTATCATCATCATGATGGTTGATCAAAGGAGAAAAATAAATAAAAAATTTATATTGGGGGCGTCAAAGTCCATTGTGTGTGTTTGTGTGTTTGTTTGTTGTTGTTGTTGTTTGTTGTCATTTGCATAGTAAATTTTTTTTTTCATCTGATTTTTTTTTTATCATAAAAATTTGTTTTTTCTTGTTGCTGATTTGTTGATTGATATTGTTGTTGTTTGTTGTTGTATTGCCGGTATCGTTGGTAACACAAACAGAAACGATTGGTAAAAAAAGAAAAAAAAATTTATCGATAAAAATTATTTTATTTGAAACACTGTAGACAAAAAATAATATGTATAGGTAACTGTATAAGGTGGTTTTTATTTGATGACAACAGTAAAAAAAAAGAACATCGTCATTCAAAATCACCGTTAAAATTGTTGAATTTGTGTGTGTATAATGTGAAATCTAGGAAATCTTTTCTCATTGACCAATTTTTTTGTTGTTGTTGTTGTTGTTATTTTTATTGATTCAAATTATATAGACGATTAATCAATCAATCAATCAATCGATTTGGCTGTTCTTTGTTTTTTTATTGTCTTTTTGTGGTAATCCATAAGTAAACAACAACAATGACACTCGAAGATTCAATTACAAATAATTCTCATTCAATAATTTCTATGACTGAAAGTAGCCGTCGAACAACAAATAATAATAATAATCATCATCATCATCATCATGTACGTGGATTACCATATTTATTACGACAAACATCACGATCAATGTCACAGCCAACAATACCTGGTGGCAATAATCGATATCGTTGTCCACATCGTGAAAGAGTACAACATCGTCATCGTATGATGATGTATACTACAATGCCAACAACAATTAATCAACAACAACAACAACAACAACATTCATGTACGGAAATTGATATAAATAATAATAATGAAAACGTAAATCGTATGGCATGGTATCGAACAAAAATTTGGTTACAATATTTAGTGACTATTGCAATACGTTTTATACCATTATTAATATCAACAATAGGTGTCATCTGTTTATTAGCATTTTTAATTGATTATGAATTTGCATTGATTATATTCAATATAACATTGATGATTATATTGGTTATTGTTATAATTTTTATTGTTTATACATTCATTATGTTTTATATTTATCGTAAACATTCTGATCGGCTACATCAAACACGTCGGAATCGTAGTAATAATAATAATAATAATAATAATCAAAATCCTGGTAATAATCAACAACAAACAACAACAACAACAACAACAACACAAAGACAGCAACAACAACAACAACAACAACGGAATCGTAGTTATAGTACAAATCCAAATGATTTAATAAATCATCATCATAATCACAATCATCCAACTATATTAACAACAACACCAAGCTATCATGATGATGATGAAAATGAATGTTATAATTGTCGTATGGAACGTTTAAAGGCAACGGATATACCACCACCATATGATCCACCGCCTAAATATGAAGAGCTCAATGTCAATGTTTTATTAGCTGAAACATCAATGGAACAACAACAACGATTATCATCATCACAAACTGAATTAGCACAACAACAACAACAACAACAACAGCAGCCTTTATCAACATCAACAACAACAACAACAACAAATCAAATCAGCAACGAACACAGTAGCAGTTAATAATATCATCATCCATCATCATCATCATCATTTCAGTGACATAATTTTCCATATAGTAATTCATATTCGTCCATTATCAACACAAAAACAACGACGACAACAACAACAAGTGTTTACCAACAACAAGTGATAAACAATTTTTAATCATCATCATAATCGAATGATTATTGATTTACCGTCTTTGGTAAATCAATCAATCCTCTCTTTCAATCTTATTTCAAAAAAAAACTAGAAGAAAAAATAAATAAAAACTCTGCAAAAAAAAAAATAAACATACACTGCAATCAATCAGAAAAAAAAGAAAAATATCAAAATCAATCAACAAATAGCTGTCAAGACGATTATCACCCAAAAATCATTTAATGATCATGATGATCATCATCAATTGTTATAAATATCGTAATAAGAATCATCATGAGTGATCAATTTTATTATTTCTCTTAATTTACTTTCATTTTTTTTGCTGTGTTATAATTAGCGATTGTTTTGTTTTATCGAAGAATAAACACCGATGACAACCTATGAATATGAATCATCGACAATCAACAACAACAACAACACGGACAATGGGTAATAATAATAATAATCTACTTCGTATACGTTTAATCATTATAATTATAATGGTCATAATCTGTTTAATTATATTCATTTATAATTGGTTAAATAAATGTCAATTTATACACATATGGATGTCATGTATGTTTTTTCTATTTTTAACCATTGTTTGTTCATATTATACTTATTATTATCATCATCATCATGTGAATCATTTACAACAACAACAACAACAACAACAACAATCATCATCAATAGCTGGATATCAAAATTTTATTAATGAAGATACAATGAATAATACAATCAATCGACCGACAATTATTTCGACAATTTATAATAATCATAATCATAATAATCGTCAACATGGTAATGATAATGATATTGTGTATGAAATCGTTGATGATCATCCACCAATATATGAATGGCCACCTAAATATGAAGAATTAAATGTTGAAAATTTAAAAAATTTTTAATTGATTAAAATTTGTTTTACCTTTAATTTTTTTGTTTGTTTGTTTGTTTGTTTAGTTTTTATTTTGATTGTTGATTTTAATTATATAATAAAGAAAATGATGATGATGATGATGATGATTGGATCGAACGATCGATTGATTCGAAACTTTGAATTGTCGTCATTCTTTGTTTTGTTTTCGACTTTTGTCATGGCCAATAAAATTATTGTCAATTAATTCGACAATTTTGTTTCGTCTATATATTTTTTTTTTTTTTTGAATGATTAAAATGAAAATTTTTGTTCAAATTAAAAATTTTTTAAAATTAAAATTACCTTTCATCGTCCTCATAGTTGTTGTTTTCAAGTTGTTGTTTTATTTGAACGAAAAATTCTTTGACTTTTGGTTGATGACGAAATTTCTGATCGCACAACTTTGTAATGATGATCGATAAAAATTCAATCCATAAATCCAGATAAATTTCTGGACAATGATCTAATTGAGAATTTTTTGATAAAAATTTCGAAATTTCAAAAACATAATCGTTTGACCTTATTATATCTTTACAATACATGATGGCAATCAATTCAAGATTGTTCCAATAACGATCCAATGAATGTTTTTTATTCATTTCGAATTTTTCACGTATTGTTTCCGAATATTCATCGATTTTATTGTACATTTTTTCATAATCACAAACATCATGATATATACCGGATTCGATACGTTGTTTTAATGAATCGATGATGAATATATTACAATGATCTATCTTTAACATTGATGCAATTTTCATAATCGATACAATAAGATGATCCATTTGATAGGGAAAATGATCGAAAAGTAATTCCAACATTATTTGTATTAATCGTTGACGTTCTGTTATCGATAAACCGATGAACATGTGCAAACGAGATCGACGAAATCGTGCTAAAAATTCATTAGCCGATAATTCACAATATTGATGGAAAAAATTTTTGATATTTATACGCCATTTTTCAATCTGATCTTGTGCAATGAGATCAGGATTTTTTCTATAACAAAACCAACAACTACAAACATCAATTACATTGGCAATTGAATGATCGGCAACTGAATGATCGCCATGTTGAATCGAAACATTCGTATTGTTATCATCATAATTGTTCGAATCAATAGAATTTTCTTCACAACGTAATGTTTCATCATTGTTCGATTTTTGTTCAATCAATGCCGATGGTGTTTGTTCTGCATTTTTGTTCGATTTTTGTTCAATCAATGCCGATGGTGTTTGTTCTGCATTTTTGTTGTTCGATTTTGATTCTTGTAGTGGAATTTGTTCAATACATTTTTCAATATCTTTAATCAATGTTTTGATTTGTGATCGAGTATCGATTGAAATCTGTTTGAATTCAAGAATCAATTTTGGTTTATTACTTTTATCCACATTCGATACAAGTTCATTGTATTCATTATCAATTTTTTTGATTCGAACCAATAAATTCTTCAATGCTTCTTTATCATCATCATTATTATTATTATCATGAAATTTTATACCGATTTCATCAACTTCATTGCTAAATTTCATAAATTTTATCTGCAAATCGAATAATTGTGAATTTTTTCTCGATGATGATGCCATATTAATTAAGATTATGGATCGTTAATGATGAAAATTTCGTTCGTTGTGAAAGTTTTAGAACAAAAAAAACCAATTATCACATGTATACATTAATATGTCTTATATATATTCGATATACAATAAAACACGCTGAAAGTGCTGCAACCTGCTATTGCTGTGTAAATGACTAATACAATTTTTCTCTTCATTACGCATTACGTGATATGTGTATGGCCACCTACAGGCTTTTTAAGTATTTTAAAAATTGTTTACTCTTGTGTGTATGTGTGTGCGCCTCGAGTTTTGACTACATCCAAAATCTGCATGATCAAAAAAAAAAAAAAAAAAAAAGAAAGATGGGTACCGATTCGGAATCGATCAAAAACCCTGATAACGATCGAATATGATGAAACGAAAAAATCATATTTGAATGAGGTGAACCAAAATTTTCGATTCTTCTTTCGGACATGGATTTTTCAATGAATACAAATGTTTCCGTCAATTTCGAATCTATTTCAACGGTGGTACGGTTACGGTGAGATGGCCTTGATTCTCTTTTTTTTATGGTCCAAATTTCTACCAAATCAACAATAAATTTTTTTGATCCACATACTCCCCCCTACCAAAAACCTTATTGAAATAATCAAATCCCTTAACAAAAATACTACACACACAAACACAACACAATAATTTGTAAATGCATTCCATCATTACCATATTATGTAAACTTTTATTTTATTTATATTCTATTATAGTCACTATATTCGAAAAACGTAAACACCTTAACGGGGGGGTGGTGGTGTGAGGAAAAAAAAAGTTATTATCATTAATAATCAAAATAAAGGAAAATTTTAAATGAAAAATTAAAGGAAAAAAAGGAAACTTTTTTATGTGAACAGGTGTGAAAATTTCAGTATGTGATGTATGTTTATGACATATTTATGGATATAGGATGGATATTGTGAAATTAATAATAAGAACGGCCATTTTTAAAATTATCATTGCAACGATACAATTGCAAATGATTTTCAAATAAATTGATAGCCAATTTTCTTCTAAAATTGAAAAAAAAAAAATGAAATGAACAGGTGTGTGAGAAATCGGTAAATAATAACTTGCCTATCTTCCAGATAATCTGGCCAATCATCATTAGATGATTTAAATTTCATCCATATTTCATTCAATTGATCCAATGTACACGGATTATTTGTTGTTGATGATGATGATGATAAATGATAATTCGATAATAATTTCTGTCCAACCATCAAAATGAAATCAGTGAATAATTCCAGATGAAGTTGACGAAATTTTGATTGGCCAAACAAATGTAAAGCGATATCGATAATTTTGATTTTTGTATTGTAAATACATTTATTGTAGGCAGTGCCAATCAGAATCAATGTGCCACGAAAACGTTTTAATGAAATCATTTTTTTCGATTCCAATTCATTTATCCATAATGATTTCAATGTTTCATCTTCACAATTATCGATCTGATGTTGTAATTCTTGATAATAATTAATTATATCATGATAAAGGCCATTTTTAATTTTTTCATTAGCCCATTCCATTATATATAATTTGTGTGATGGGATAAAAATTTCTTCAGCCATTCTTATAAACGGTACAATCAATTTATCATGTTCATCATGATAATTTTCCACCAATTCATTCAACATTGAATTGAATATTTCAATTCGATCATTTAATGATAATTGCTTCAAAAATGGTGCACGTGATTGATTAAATTTTCTAATCAATCGATGTGTTGGATAATCATGATATTGCATTAGAAAATTTTTCATATTTTGTTTCCAATCTTTTTCTAGATTAGCTACTGGTTGTGGCACAATAGTTGGATCTGGATCATCATCGAAAATAAAATCACCACCATAAGCCAAACGAACATCATTACCATGTTCAATGCCGTCATTAGTAATGGGATCATCAAAAACCATTGATAGTTTGTGATTTTTTGTCTTTTTCAATATATCCAATGCACTTGTCAATTTGTTTGGATTTGATGATTCAATGGGGACAGATTTTTTTTGATCAGTAAAAAGAATATTTATGCGTCGATAAGGACGTGAATCAACATAATTATGATGATGATGATGATTATCATTTTCAGAATATTCTGTTTGTTCAGATTTTTGTGACAAAAACGATCCAGTTCTTGGCGGTGGTGGTGGTGATGATGATGAAGGTGGTGGTGGTGGTGATGATGATGATGAAGGTGATGGTGGTGATGATAACAATGACTCTCGTGAAAAATTATTGGCCAAATTTTCATCATTCACCAATGGATAGATATTTTTCGCCATTTCCGATGATGAAACATCATCATTCGAAGGTTGTGGTGCATTCAATTTTGTCTGAGTGGTGGCACTACCGTTTAGATTTAAATTAGCACATTTTCTATCAATTTTTATTTCATATTCTTTAATTTTTTTAGCCAAATTTCGTACATATTCAAATAATGATCTTTCTATATTGGTTTTTTTAGTAATCATTCGTGCAAGTTTTTCCTGTTCACTTTTTTGAATTTGAAGTTCAAATTTTAGATCCATTAATTTAGCCAAATCATTTGTATCAAAAGCAATCATATCGATCTGGTCTAATTTCATATCGATTCCCATGCAAATTTTTTCCATTGTAAATTTTTCATTACAATTATTACGATTTGATTTTGATGATGTATTAATATTACCACCACCACCGCCAACGCCATTAGTAGATTTCGATTTGTTGTTTGATGATAATGATGATAATGATGGTACACGACTTGATGATCGACGATACATTTTTACAACGAAATGTGAGAATTTTGATTGTGAAAAAAAAAAAAAAAATTCACACAAAACAGCTCAAAATAGGAAGTAAACACAAGTGAGACTCAAACGCGCGTCATACAGAATAGAAAAAAAGTAGCGTGGTGGAAACATTGTCGGGAACATTTGCACACAGCCTTAAAAATACAACTGCAAAATTCCAGAACTTTTCCCGATATTTTCGAATTTTCAAAAAAAAAAAAATTTTTTTTTAAAAAATTTTCATTTTTTTTTTCATTTTAAATTTTTTATTGCTGGATATCGTTGCTGTCGTCGTCGAATAAAATATGGTATCATACAAGCTGTAAGCATCAATGTTGTAATCACTGCCGAAAGAAAATAATTGATATATTTGGCATAATTATTCAATTCATTCATCGTGTTCGATGATGATGATGATTTTTTCATCTTTTTCACCACTTTCATATTATCATCATCATCATCATCAGCATTTTTATGGCCACAATTGAACAATGATGTCATTACATTATCCATTGTTTCATATTCCATCTGTGTGTGTGTGTGCGAATGGAGAATCAAAATCTTTTTTTTTTTGCATTTCCAAAGAAAAAACTTACCAATTGTACCATGTTATTTTTTCCATCAAATGTATTTGCAACAAATGTTCGTTTATGTTGTTGTGTAAGTAGAATTAATTTTGTTGAATTTTTTTTCTGTTCAAATTGTCTAATTGTACCGATTACATTGATAGCAAATTGTAATCCATCCACTTTTTGTTTACTTTCAATAATATCTTTTAATGAATCTTTATTCATATCATACATCGATATACTTAATGGTGATTTCCATGCAGCAGCATAATTTTCATCTAATCGTATGATGACAAATAATTTTCTATAATTCCAATCCAAATGTATTGTTAAATCTGTGGTAAATTTTCTATTTGGTATTAAAAATTGCATAAATTTTGCTAAATTTTGTTTTTCCATTGGTAGATCATTTTCATCATCAATAATGGATTTATAATCAACAGCCAAATGTCCAGTTTTATGGTCTTTTATGCCAGTGATGAATACAAATTCATCATCAAGTAATGTACGGCTAATCAAAACAAATTCATTTTTACGAAAAATTTTACCAATATCATCAATAAACATGAATCCAGTGAAACCTTTTGTATTGAAATCGGATCCGGAATAAAAATGGTGGCGACGAAAACTACCATAGAATAATTGTCCAATACGAGAATCTGGAATGGCTATATTATTTTTTATTATTTCATCATCATCATCAACATTATTATTTGAATGCCAAAATCGATCAATATGATGATAATATTGTATCGAATCTAATTCAAACATATTATCTATGGAATTTTGTTGACATAATTCATTTATTGATAATGATGATTGATCTTTTTCGATCGGTTTTTTATCCAACAACATTATTCCCTTTACAATCATGATGGTGGTTACCATTAGCAACAGCCATAAATATGGAATTATGATCATTTTCAAACGTATTCTTCTTCTTCTTCTTCTTCTTCAACGGAAAAATTGGCTCAATTCGTTTTTTTTTCAAATATAAAATCACAATCATTATTGCCCGGATTTATTGGTTATTGGCAAGTAATTAATTTAATTATTATTACTGCTTATTCTCAAGATCAAGGTTTTCAATTCATTGTTTTTTTTCTGATAAAATTTTCTTTTTTGTTCATTTTGTTTTGATACAAATAACCATACGGAACATTCAATATAGAATCATTATCAACGAAAAAATCATCTTAAAATGTCACTATCAACAATGTTGGATAAATTGAATTCAGAACGTTCACCATCATCATTATCAACATATTCAAATGATTCATATCATATGCAAAGAGGTGGCTATGATCGTGGCCGTTCACCATCGCCAACGGAATTTTTTCGTGCTAAAATTGAAAATTATGATCATATTTGGAGCCGTGAACATGAATTAAATGAATTCATTCATAATGGTATACAGAAATTTTTGGACAAACAAGCTGTTCGTGATCTTATACATGCATATGATTTGGAAGATATTTTCGTTCATGGTGAAGAACATTTCTTTGAAAATGTATTTGAAGATTTTGACAATTCAAAAACTATGGATGAATTATCATTGCAAAAGAATCAAAAAGGAAAATTCGCACAACTAATTGATGTTTACAATGGGTATTTTCAATCTTAAAATGTTTCTTGAATCTTTAATTTGCATTACTAATTAATTTTCAATTTAATTCATTATAGTCAAATATTTAAAGTGGTTAATCAATCAAAAAATATAAAAGATAAACAGCAACAGAAACAACAACAAATAGTTGCCGTACACAAAACGAATCGATCATTTTTTAGTATTTTTACATCAGTATTAATTGAATTGTTTGGCATAAAAACCAGACATCTGGCACATCAACGTCGTGAAAGTGATCAATTGAATGCAATGCTTGAAAATCAATCGAAAGAAAATAATCAAAATCAAAATGGTCAGCTTAATCTGGTTTAGAATTTTACAACGATAAAATAATAATAATGGCAAATTGAACTTTAACCAACCATCAAACATATCTTTAATTCCTGGCTCATCGCACGTTGTCTCTTATATCTATCCATATAACTTTCTGTATGATATCAATCGAATCATTCAATCACTGAGTCAATGTCCTAGATTAGTAAATTTCCGTATTGATAAAAATGTTGATGATAAATTCCAAATACACACACACACAGACACAATGCATAAAAGTTGAAAAATTATTCGAATATTTTTTTTCAATCAATTGATTATACTTGTTTCCCACACACACACACACACACAATGATTGATTTAACGTTTATTGAAAGACTTAGACAACGTTTTGAAAAAGAAATTGAAACAAATCCATCGTATTACCATGAAATTGATATTAAACGTATACGTGAAGAAGAATGGCCAATTAAAAGATTTTTAATCGCTAATAATGCTGATGAAAATATTGCATTCGATTCAATGCAACGTACATATCGTTGGCGAAACAAATTCGGCATACACGATCGTACAGATCAATCATTTCCACGAGAATTTTGGCAATTATCTGGTGTAGAAATAATTCGATCAATCAATGGACAATTTGTGATTATTGAAGTTTTACGTTATCAACGAAAATGTAATCAATTACAACAATTACAATATCAATTTGTTGCACATTGTTTAGAAAAAGTGGATCGTATTGCTGGTGAAAATGGATTCATTGCACTTAAAGATCTAACCAATGCTCAACATCATAATATTAATTTTGATTTGATTGAATTTCAAATGATTGTATCCGATCATTTTCCATTAGGTTTACAACAAATATGGCTTGTAAATTGTCCATGGATTATACGGCCATTTTTACCGATTGTTGTTAATTTTTTATTTCCAAAATTTCGTCAATTAATTCATTATTTACAATCAAAACAATTATTAGATTCAATTGATCGTGAACAGATACCGAAAACATTGGGTGGATTACGTGAAAATCAATTGATGATAATGGATACAAAACCATTGGCTTATATGGCTAATGAATTAGGTTTAAATGAAGAATTAGTGGATATTTTGTATAAATTTTTCAATCTAAATCGTCCACCACCACCACCACCATCATCATCATCATCATCATCAATTGTTGTTGATCAAAAATAATTGATAATGGGGCCTCCGCCGATTATCTACATCCTGGATGATCCAAGATGATAACTAATCAATCTTAGTTTTTTTTTATTTTTAATTTTTTTTTTAGGACAACAATCAATGATAGTTGCCACGTGTTTCACGTACATAAAAAAAATTACCAATAAATAGATTAATTAAAAAAGTTTCAATTATTGACAATTTATTTTGAGGTACATTAATCACAGACAACCAATCATCATTGGATTGATCATAATCTTATCTGAATACACAATATATACAATAAGTGGATCTGATTTTGGATGGAGAAAATAAAAATGATCCACAATCTGACAGCTTGATCGTTATTAAAATCTTTGCTTTGGTTTGCTCTTCAATATATTCTTCTTCTTCTTCTTCTTCGTTATCCACACAATGGCAGCCACCAACAACAATCAACCAACGGAAGAATCGATTGTAAAACTTCGTCAACGTTTTCTGGAAGAGATTGAAAAAAATTCATCATTATATCATGAAATTGATGTGAAACGTATCAAAGAAGAAGAATGGGAAGTACGAAGATTTTTACTTGAATATAATGGTGATGAAAATGTTTCATTCGATGCTATGATTAAATGTTATCGATGGAAAAAAGAATATGGTATACATGAACGAACTGATGATATGTTTCCAAAAGAATTATGGGAACTAGCTGATTGTGGCCGTGCTAAAGATGGTACCTATGTTCAAATGGAAGCATTTCGTTCACAAAAAACTTTTAAAGAATTGAATGAATTACCTAAACATTTTATTGCTCATATGTTGGAACGTATTGATCGTATGGCTGGAACACATGGTTTCATTATGTTGATCGATGCTGGTGGTGCTGGACCATCAAATGTAAACATGGATTTGATTAAATTCAAGATGACAATTGTTGAAAATTATCCAAGTAGTTTGAAAAAAATTCTTGTTGTCGATTTACCATGGATACTGAATCCTGTTATGACAATGATTGTTAGTTTTTTGAATCCTAAACTAAAAGCAATGTTAACGTATCAGAAATCTAAAGAATTGCTTACCATAATGGAACCACAAGAATTGCCAACTTCATTGGGTGGTACCAAAACGAAACCGAATATTCCCGAAAATCTTATTCCATTAGCACATATGGCTGATAAATTAGGTTTGACAGATAAATTCGTTGATTCATTCTATAATCATTTGAAGATAAAACGTCCAGCTTGATTTATTTTTTAATTTTTTTTTTTTTGCAAAATTTAATTGAATTAAAAATTTCAATGAAAAAAATGTTGTTGAAAAAAAATACCTGCTTATACTTCCATCTATCCATGTAAAGATGTACTAAAATTCATCATCTGTCAATATTTTTTCTAAATCACCACATGATGATGATTTGATTGTTTGTGATTAACAATAAAAAAGAAATGGCAAAAGAATTACATGTTGATCGTAATTTAATCAATGTTAATTTTGATTCATATCGGCTACAATCAAATGTACAATGGGATATTAAATCATTGCCATTTGAATCGATTTATGGCCGATTACAAACATTGGAATTGGAACAAAATGATTATAGTTTTGTTCATGTTTCAATGGCATCGAATATCAATAATCTGTTTTACGATAGAATTTCGTCGTCAGATCGAATGTATTTTATAACTGAACAAGGCTCAATTATCGGTATTGATCATTGTGGTTATAAATTCAACAAATTGTTTCAAATTCCCGGTATGATTTCGAAAAAATTTTTTTTTTACTCATTTTAATCAATTTTATTATTTATTTATCATTAGATTATAAACGACTTTCATCATATGCATCGATAGCATTCTTATCAGAATTATTTGTTGTCATTGCTCATTCTAAACGTTTTGATTTAAATCGTTTCACTACAGATCTATTGATCATTGAAAGAAATTTTTCAAATGAATTATGGACATTGAAAACTATTGCTCATTTCAATGGTTTGAATGCGAATAATAAATTCCAACAATCATCACATATGTATCTATTCAACACTGGTGGTTCTATTTCCAATTCATTATCGATTTTTTCAATTATACTTGGTTCAATTATCAAACATGAAAAAGATTCTAGTGATATAATCAATAATAATCAATTTAAAAGTTGTTTCTGTTCATCATTACATTGGTTAACATTGGACAGACAGAAATGGACAATACAAAATTATCGTCAATTAATTGAAAATGGAATGAAATCAGATTGGCCAAAATATGTAGCCATTTCAGATGATAATAATCTTATCGTTATAAGTAATGGACGAATGAAATTTTTAAATATCATCATCGATAGTATTTTACAGGAAACTATTGATGAAAATGATGAAATTAGTATTGCACAAAAATTTGATACAGGTGATATGGTCAACCGGAAACCTGATCAACATGATAATATTTTTGACAATAATCGTTTGGAACTTGAAGATTGTGATTTACAGGATTTTTATGATCGTTTAATTATGACTGTGTTTAAAAATGAAACCGGTGATATTCAAAATGAATTCGATTTAACATCACATCAATGGATATGTACGATACCGAATAATAGTGGTGAATATAGGTTACCATTTTTTGTTATCAGACATGATGTCGATGCATTCATCTATGAGATCAACAATGGTGATGGTCAATACGAACCAAAACACGTTGGTGTATTTGATGCATTTGGCTATATTCAAGCATCCAGAACGGAAAAACGTTTTATCACCATAATTCCAAATAACAACAATGGTGATGGAATTCAAATGATTCAATGGCCATATGCAGTGATTGTTGAATCTATTGATAAATTATCAATATATTGGAAGAATAACAACAACAATCAATCATCATCATCATCATCATCATTGAATAATAATGGTAACCATACAATTGTACAATTGTTACAACGACAACACAGTGATAATCAACAACGAAATGATGACATGATTCAAGGATTGTTTGCTTCATCGAATTTGTCAATCATATTTGTTTTGACTGACAATTGTGTTTGGTATATCAAATTCAAATAAACGAAATGAAAATTGTAAACAAAACATCAACATCATTCAACCATGAATCAACCACACAACCCCAGGATTTTTGAATCCAAAAATCGAAATGAATTTAAACAACGAGGAAACAAATTTTTCAAACTCTGAAAAACAAAAAATCCACACTGCAAGAGAGAAAGAGTTCACAGAACTTTTTTTTCAAATGTGTAAAATTGGTTTTGTTCAAGCAAGGAAAAAAATTCCACCAATGTCAAATGAATCAAATACGTCACAAATTTTTTTTTTGTTCCAATCAACCACTGATGATAATAACTTTTCTCTTGTTAAACAATAAAGAATAAAATTGACAACATCTCTTTGTTTGTGCGTGCGTGTGGGTGTGTGTATGATGAAAATGATTTTAAATTTTTTTCATTTTTCACATTCTAATCAATCATATTTTGAATCACAATTGTGATTGATTTGTTTGTTTGTTTGTATGAAAAGTTTTTCATTGAAAATTTTTTGCCATCAGCAGCAGCAGCAAAGGGTTCTTCAAGGACATCGATAACATAATGATGATGATGATGATAAAAAGCCATATCGATTCGTTTTTTTTTTTTGGTCGTTGTTTGTGAACTTGACTCTGAACTGTGTGTGTATAATGAACAATCAATCAATCAATCAATCGACTAAATCAAATATATGGAATCATTCGATTTTTTTTTGATGAGAAAATAATGAAAAACTATTTGATCAAACAATGACGCAAAATGAAAAAAAAAAATTTCAATTATGCAATTATATATACTGGTCACATGGTATCAAACAAATATCAATTGAATTGTGATTTTTTTTTTTACTGATTACTGAAATAATCGATATTGATTGATAAATTGATAATGATGACGTTTATTTTTGAACATTTATGAACAAACAACAAGTGTCTATTTGCTAACTTTTGATGATGATGATGATGATGATAACGAAACAAATGGCCAGAACAAATACCATGGTGGTGGACAAAAAACCTGATCAAAGATTTTTTTTTCCTCATCATATAAATGTTGTTGATGGTAGAAAATTTTTTTCCATCAAAAAAAAAAAAAAAAAAAATGATGGTTAATGACCTAAACCTTGTAAAAAAAAAAAAAAAAAATTGATTATCATCTCATTCAATGTTATTATCAATGATCTCAAAGAAATTAGAATAAAAATCTTGATTAGAAAAAAAAATCAAAATAAATTTCTCATGTCTAAATGAAGCAAAAAAAAAAAAAGATGTATGTTTGTGTATGTGTGTGTTTAATTACCAAGCCAAAGTCGATTAAAGGGATTGCCTATCGTTATATAAACGATGATGATGATGATGATGATTATTGAGGATAAGCGCCTGTCAGACAAACATTTCCGAATACTGGGTATAATTGATTGAACCAGGAAGAATTGAATAGCCGAAAATGATTTTAACGGGCGAAAAAAAAAAAATGTTGATTGTAATTGGGCATTTTTTTTCTTGGCTTGCATGTTTTTTTGTTTGTTGCCATTCATTATCATTGCCGAATTCATTTATTTTGATCGATATATGAATCATTGAATAAATGATCCCCAGAATTGTTGAATCGTTTAATAAGCCAAAATATTCGTTTTCTATTATTGGGGAAAGAAAACAAAAAAAAAAATTTTATTAGCATTTTTTTTCCAATAAACAAATAATGATTATGATGATGATGATTGAATCATAAAAAAAGGGAACAAATCACTAGAATCAAATGACGGAAATAATGGAAAAAATCGTAAATGACATAATCAACAGACAACTGTTGTAGACATATATAGAGACAAACGGAAAAGAAATGAAAATTTTCTCTTACCTTACCTTAGTGATATGATGATCATTTGAAAATGGTGAACGATAAGGAAAAAAGGTGAAACATTACCGAGAGAAAAAAGAAAAGAAATGAAAATGAAAAATCCAATTGACGAGAGGCCGGCCACACCAAATGCATACATTGATCCGAACAAAAAACAAATGATTACTACTGTAATGACAATCATCTTGACTGGATTGACATCGATGTCAATTTGCCAATTTTTTTTCTATTTGCTTATTTCATTCATTCAATTTGATTTGGATCCGATCCGATCTGAATCTATCTATCAAAAAAAAAAAAAAAAATAAAATTAATTGCTCGTTGTCTCAAAAACAAAAACAAATGAAAAAAATTTTGATAAAATCAATGCTCAATTGGCTTTTACTTGAATGATTTTGTTTTCATCATCATCATCATCATCATATGGCCATGCATCGTTAATTGTCAGGTATTTGCGAATCAAATTTCGAATGTATGTATTGCACATCATCATGTGATCATCAACAAATCATTTGTTGCTTGGATACCATTGGAAAATTCCAATTTCATTATTATTGAAAATTAAATTAAATTTAAATTTTTTTTTTTTTGAATGAATGAAAAAATTAAAATCCTAGGAGAATCATCTTCCTTGTGATCACATGTAATCACGCCAAACATAGAATGAATGAATGAATGTCATCATACACTATATATACATTTTCATTGTTGTAATATTTCTTCAATTATGAAATTCATCACAATTATTCAATGAAACATTCTTTCGATATGGAAGTTGTTGTTGTTGTTGTCAACAGCAAAACATTTTTAAATTTAGAATGATGATGATGATGATGTTCATTTTTGGTAGAGAAATTTTAATTTTTCATCTCAAATTCGATGATCTTCATCTTCTTCTTTTTATTACTCACATTCAGATGTTGTTCATGGTTGTGTTATGGTTTCACAAATTGACATTTTCATTCAAGGATTCAATGATGATGATGATGATGATGATGATGATTTTTGTTGTTGTTGTCATTTTGATGACACACAGTAATTGACAATGATGATGACTTTGATGTAAAAGAAAATAAAAATTAGACTTTGAACCATTAATTTCGAGTGAGGTAATAAGGTGAGTGGTGAATCATTCGTTATTGGTTATTATTGTTATGGAAAAAAAAAACATAAAAATTTATGATTAATGGATCATTTTTGTGGTGATTTGTTCATACCTTTGTCGATTATTTTTAATCATCTTTACAGTTTCTGTATTAATTTCCATCTTAAATGAACAACATCATCATCATCATCATTTGGCCTTTTTGTCCACTATTATTATGATAATCATTTGATCATGTGGTCAATTTGATGATTGAAAAAGATCGTGAAAAGATCATTATTATGTTATTAGCAATTAGCAATTCTTATCGGATTTGAAATTGAATATCTTCACATCGAAACAGCTGAATTGAATTTGATCAATCAGAAAAAAAATAAAAAATCACCTATTTATACAGCAGTAATATAGTATAATTATATAATGTATATTGCAATATCAACAACGAAAAAAAATAACCATCTGATTTCAATAATAATGATCAAATAGGGATATTATCTTGAAGCAAGAAAGCGAGATGATTATCATGATAATAATAATCATCTTTTTTTTTGGTAATATCTGATCACAAAATCGATTGATGAAAAATTTGATTGAACCGAAAAAAAAATTGGATAACAGATAAAAAAAACTAGATCAGCTTGAATAGAATTCGAAAAAAAACCTTTAGGGTCAATATAGAATCGAATGTTTAATAACAATCGGCGAATCGGTTCGATTATTATCATTATCATCATCATCATCATTATAATTGGATTGAATTGAATTGAATTGAATGTTTGTTCAAGATGTTTCCTGCAATAATTTAAAATCTATTCTTTTGATGGACATTGAAAGATCTGAACCCTTCAAATAAATTTAAAAAAAAATTGACCTAAACGATGATGGGGTAAAAGCAATCATCAACTATGAAATTTTTTCTTTCCACTAATCAACTAACTTTTTTTTCCAGATCTTAAACCTGATATACAAAAATAGAGGTTATCTTCCGAGTTTATCATCATCATCATCACCATCATCATCATGATCATTAATGAAAACAGAAGAGAAACTTGTCCTTGGTCATCATCAACATCGCCATTTTATTTTATTTTTTTCTGTTGGATAAGTACATTGTCCTTTTATAATGTATTCAGATATATTAGATTAGTGTCGTCAAAATGTTACAACAACCATTTTTTGTGTGTGTGTGTGTGTTTCAACCAAATTACCGCTTGTCCATTGTCTGTGTCAAATACACTAATGGACTCTATTCTAAATTCATATCATGGAAATTTTTCAATGTCATTATATGTGTGGTTTATGTATGTCATCTTGTAATGTTATGTCAAACATATTCATTCATTCATTAGATATCATCATCATACGGATATCTAGTGTTTATGATAGCTTAGATGTTTGTTGAACCAGTTGAAAATGGCAATTTTACAGCATCTTTTGTTTATAGTGTGATGTGGATGTATGGTAGCAACAAGTTTTGTACTCATTATTCTTCATTATTCAACCCTGTGATTCTCTCTTTTATCATATAACGGTGATTTTTTTTTAAAATTTTTTTTCGGCGCGAAATTTAAAAAATAATTTCAAAGATAAAGAGAGACATGTATAGCTGCTGCTTAAAGGATGCTTGACCAAACCTGACGAAGAAAGCTACAGAGAGAGAGAGAGAGAGAGAGAGAGAGAGAGAGAGAGAGTGTGTGAGTGAAACCAGAAAAGTTTTTTCTTGAAAAGAGACAAAAAAAAGAGTAAGTAAGAGAAAACTTTTGAAGGGAAAAAAACGCGATATAAAAATGGTCAGAAAGTTTTTTTTGTTTTTTTGTTCACGTGAAAATTTCATCATCACCAGCTGCTAAAAAAATTTTTCTTCAAATTAGATCAAAAATTTTTTGTGTCAATTGTCTAATATCACTCAGTCTGTGTGTATTGCATTTTGTCACTGTAGTGATTTTCATCATCATCACCATCATCATCATAATATATCTATGTATGTGTCTGTTTTGTGACCAAATTTTTTTTTCTACTTCATTTTTACAGAAATTTCATCAACAAAATGATTGCAATTAAATAAAAAAATCTATCACCAGATCATTATTATCATTCCAATCATCATCAGATTTATGTTATGACATAGCAATATATATATAATAATCAACACGACCTGAATAGTCCATTTTGTTCAAATCAAAAATTTTAATGATGACAGTTGGAAAAAACACAATTTTTCCTCAATCGTAACCGGATCAATATATTATTGTATGGATTGATTGATTGAATCTGGTTTGATTTGGTTTTTTTTGTCGTTTGTTTATCTGATGATGGCGATGTAATGTATGTGATTTTTTTCTAGTTTATAGAAATTTGTTTTTTTTTTATGTTTTGGTTTTAAAATCGTGATTTTGTTTGAAAACACACACACACACACAAATTCGATTGGTGGAAGGATTATTTTTTCTCAAATGTCTAATCATCATCACCATATTGTGAAATTCATATTGTGCCAGATCTAAATTTGTCATCATCAATGAAATTATCAACGAAAAAAAAAAATTTTTTGGATAAAATTGGACACTTTTGTTGTTGTTTATGTGTGTGTGTGTGTTTGTCGAACTTTGATCATCATGGCCATTTAAATCAGTGAAAAATAGAGATATTTCCCAGATTATCAGTGTGTGAGCGTGGATGTTTGTTGTTTGATGTCCTGATGATAATAATAATAATAATAATCCAGTGATATATCTAGAAATTTTTTTTTTGCTAAAATTCATTTCTTCGAATTCATTTTATTATTTTCTCATTCATCCATCCATCCATTAGCGATTAATATCATAAATCATGACCGATGAAAATCAATTTAATAATGTTAACATTGTTGATGATCAAAATCGTCGTCATCAATCAACAATGGTGATGATCATTGATGGTGATAATGATTATGATATTCACCCTAATAATCAAAATAATAATGGTGATAATAATAATGGTGATAATGATGATGTTGATGATAAACAATTGAATTTAAATTCAAACAATAATAAAATGGATCATAGTAAATCATCATCAAGCCAAAATAGTATCGATACAACATTGACTAGTATGACTGGCAATAGTAATAATTCCATTATTATGTCAAATACCAATAATCATACAACATCTTCATCAACGATGGCAGGTCATAATAATAATAATGATGATAATCATTACAATATTGGTCATTATCATCAATCACAAAATGAAGATGTTATTAATCTTAATGATCATCAACATCAACATCATTTTATTGGATCAACAACAACATCAGCATCATCATTTCCTTCAGGAATTCATAATGATTCTCATCATCATATAAATAATAATGATGGCCATCGATTGGAACATTTTGCCAAATTCAGGTTAGTTTTAATGAAAAATTTGATTAACATGGTAGACATTTTTTTTTTTTTGGTTTTGCGTTTTTCCCGATACATGTTTTATGTTTAAAAATATCAAAGAAAAAAAATCAATTGATCCATCCATCAATGAATTCATTTTCTATTAGACTAATTAATGGTTTCTATAATTATAATGACAACATTTATAATCTTAAATGGTTATATAGCTTTTTATCATCATTTAAATGATGATGAAATATGTCTAAAAGAGACGAATTAAATATGTATATCGATCGATAAAGTACGATGTCAAAAAAAAAAAAATAAAATAAAATAATCATAATTAGAATGATTATGATTATGATGATGTTATGGTATATATGATGATTATGTTTGTTTCAATGATTTTCATTGAAATGATGATGATTTTTTTTTTATCAACATTGTTGTTGTAATTGATTTTTTTTTCTTCACTGCATATTCAATCAATCAATTGGGCTGATTGATTTTTTTTTTTGTTTTAATTTAGTTTTACTTTTACTTGGTTGCAATAATATATCTCTGTGCCCTAAATACTTGTGATTGACTAATTATTGAATTTTCCCAGTACTTTCAATTTTTTTGTTGTTGTTGTTGTTGCATAAACAAAACTACAAAATAGTGAGAAAAAGAGTGCAAAGTTTGACATCTTGATTTTGAGAATGCTCTAAAATGTTCACATTAGACGTACGGAAATGAATTTTTGAATTTTTTTCTCCTTTCAACGATCAAAAGTTGTTTGTTGTTTGTTAGTTAGAGATGAAAGAAAAAAAAAAAAACCATGCGAATGATGACCGCTTTTTAATATTTATATCGATAAGTTTTGTTTTTTGTTTTTGTTTATTCATCAATTGACCTTAACACTTGTGTGCGATGAATGAATGAATGAATGTACATACGCGACAGTGTATTGAATAAATCTTTTCAACATTTCATTGATGATTTCCTGATTTCAAATTATCAATTCATTTTGAATTCAACAACAAAAAAAAAATTTCATAATTCACATTGTTGTTCATCATCATCATGATCATGTGTTGTTCAAAAAAAAAATTATGTTTTTTCATTATAGCAATAAAAACTCGTGACCAATCTCCAATTTGTTTTTTTTTCTTGATCATAAATTGTACACCGTTATCTTTTTTCATTTCACTTTTTTTTTCAATATGAAAATGTTTTTTTTTAGCCGATAAATAATTGTTTTCCCTAGCGTATTATATACGTACACATCTGTCACCGAATATATGAATATATGAATTTGTGTTTTATGATATTTAATCACTATAGATAGATAGATATATGTAGACGGTATAATATGTTGTAATAATAAATCTATTGAAGTGTAAAAAAATGAAAGAAAAAAAAGTTATCATATTGGTTTCAATAATGAATTTATAGATTCGAAAATTGATTCTGAATGATATGTTTCTATTCCTGGGACCAATCTGGGACCAATATTTTTTTCCAAGATCATAAAAATATTCACACCTGTGACAATATTTGAACACATTTATTTATTGATCAAACTTGTGTCTACTATTTATATATGTTTTAACAAGGATCGATTTTTTTTTCATAAATTTTAATTGAATAATAGTTCAACCAAAAATGTTCGATCCGATATTATCAATGATGTATCAATAAATGAAAAGAAACTGGTGAGAAAATGATTCAATTTCGTAAATCGAAACATCATCATGGTTTATGGCTCAATGATCATTTGATTTGACTTTTATGTTGAAATTCATTCATTCATATGGAATTTTTTTTTTTTGGTTATATTTGGAATTTTCTTGCACATCCAAAATACATCCACTTGCATGACATTTAGAATATCGTCATCTTAAAAAAAAATTTGATTTTGGATTTACAACTTTTGTTGTTCGCTAATTGAAATATTTCTACTCTAGAAATCAGCTATAAAAACTTTTTTTTTTATTTCAATGAAAAAAAAATCGTGAATAATTTTCAATGTCAAATGTATGTGAAAGATAATCAAGTTGGTTGGTTATTATATGAAATGAATGATGCTAAATAAGATGAAGGGAAAAAAATGTGACACAAAAGATCATAAACAATATATATGTGACCTACATGACATAATTTCAAGTCATGATGATGATAATAGGACTTGGATTAAAAAAAAAAAAAATTTTCTCACAGTATATAATATCTAAATCTTAAGTTGGACGGTTATCATTCTTATTCTTCTTTTTATTTTCGTCATTATTATTCTTGGAACTACTAGAGAAATGTATGTACAATTATTAATATTTCATTATACATAATTAATATCGATATATACGATATTAATTTTTTGACCATATACAGGTATGTATGTATTTATTTTCTTATGATCACAAGATGATCTTTAATGATGAGAATCCATATAAATTCTTAATCATTTACATACATACATGACGATATGACGACATTAACAATCAATCAAAACGAATTAATCAAAACCCAACTGATGCATTTTTTTGCCAATTTTTTTTTTGCATGCAAAGGAGATTGATTTCTATTCCAACATCATGATTCAATGTAAATTGAAAATAATTCTTACTTTTATAGCTTTATCTCTCTGTTATTATGTAATAATTCCTAAGAATTTTTCGTAATTCTGTTCCTGTGTCAACTGTGTGTGTGTGTGTGTGTGTGTGTGTGTATGTTGCTGTTTGCAAATTATGGTTACTTTTTATTATTGCCCAATATATAATATGATCATATGGATAAATTTAATAATAAACTTACACACACGCACACATATTAAATTGAATTGAATGAGCATGTGTATGAATGAATGATTATATGATCCAAAATTGGAAACATCATCTTTTCAAATATAAAAAGATTGTGAAAAAAAAACAAAATGAAAATCATAACATACAACATCACAGTGATATATATATGATGATGCTTATTACCAGTATTGAAACGAAATGAGAAACCTGAAAAGTTCTTGACGCGCACATCAATTGGTGAGACATTTACATTTAAAACACCCGCCATCATACACACACACACACACACACACGAAACGAATATTTTTTTTACTCTTGTTCCATGTTCTTGTTTGTTACTACTTGTGTTCAGCTCAACAATCATTCGATTCAGATTTTCTTTTTTTTTCTATTAAAAACTATTGACATCCAATCAATCAATTTAATTTGTTTATGGATCAATTGAAATAATAAATCGATTCAAATAATTGTCATCACCAATGATATCGACTATCATTGATGATGATGATGAAATGAAAAATTTTTTTATTTAAACAAACGACCAGGTGTTACCTGGCATTGTTTTTTGTCAAATATGAAAAAAAATGTATTGAATTGATCTATACACGCCACCACTACCATTGCTAGATCAATCGATAATAATTGCTTATAATTAACTTGTATGATTTTCGTTCGTTTGTGTGTGTGTGTATATGTGTTTGTCGCCCTGTGCGTGTTTGTTTATAAATTTGTTTTTGACACGAATTTTCATCATTCATGAATTGTGATTTTATACAAAAAAAAAAAAAACAGTTGCATAATTTTTTTTTTGTTTGAAGTTTTGAATTTGAAAAACAAATCAAAAAAAATTTTCACTTCATCACTATGATGATGATGATGATGACATCATTTTTTTGTGGTTATATTACCATTGGTTTTTTGTTTTTGTTTTTTTTTGGTGTGAATTGTTTTGATTGATTTGTTGTTGGTGATTGCTGAAATTGTTCCATTGACATAGTTTTTTTTTCTTGTTCTAATCAGCTGTTAAGTTGTTGTTTTATGAAATTTTTTTTTTCATCTATATAAAAATAAAATAAAATGGTGTAAAGATGACAATTGGCAAATATTTGCCATATATTGATGAATTTGTAAAGTTTTCTGTTTTTTTTTGTTGTTATTCGAACACAAGTTCATAAAACCAGAAAACAATAATCATTCCAAATATGGCAATGATGAATCCAATTACTAAACATGATGATGATGAACATTGCAAATCTATCAACATAAATAATCATCATAATTGTTGTAAAACGAATGATTATTTACAATTTCCACAATTACAAAATGATGACCATCATCATCAATCAATCAATATGATGGCCAATGCCAAATTATCATTACAATCATCACCAACACCATCATCATCATCGAATACGATGAAGATCAATAATAATAATAATCATAATACAAAAAATATTAATAAAACTAATAATGACCAGGAAAAAATTCGTACAAAAACGACAATGGTCATTTGTAATCGATTTTGTTTTTTCTGGTATTTTACTGATAATTTAATTTTTCTAAAATTTTTCTAGTTATTCAATTTTAATTCCTTTTTCTTTCTTTCTATTTTTTAAAAATTAGGAATCCACCATGGTGGAATCGTCGTACTCGTCTTGAACGTTTATTATGTGCTGTAACGGCCATCACATTGATGATGTGTGTAGCAATGTCCATTACATTAGCTATGGTTCGTTATCAACGGCAACAACAACAACAACAAGGTATTAATATAATAATAAAAAAACATTTTAATTTAAATTTGATTATTTCAGATACAACATCCAATACAGAACATGGACCATTCACTTCAATTGTATCACATAATCATTATCATCATCAATCAGCATCACCGACAGCGCAACAGCTAGTCAATCGTGAAAATCAAAAAGCCAAATTATCCGTGATTGATTCGCCATCATTATCAATACCTTCATCATCATCATCATCAACATCGGTTAATCGTATATTCGAAAAGCAGGGTAAAAGCTTGAAAAATACAAAATTATTGTCCACATCATCATCATCATCTTCGGCCATAAATTGGCCACCAACACCCTAACAGATGTATGTCTTACACAGGGATGTGTACGTGCCGCATCAGAGCTTATAACAAATATGAATGAAAATGTTTCACCATGTGATGATTTTTATCAATTTGCTTGTGGTGGTTGGATCAAGAATCAAGTCATACCGGATGATCGTACCACTGTATCAGTATTTTCATTATTACAAGATGAACTTAATCATAAATTACGAGGTTTGATTTCTTTTATGATAATTAAAATTCTCATTGATTAAATTTTGTTTCAAATTTTTTAGTGTTGGTTGAATCAAAAGGAACACCGGAAGAACCGGAATTTTTTGATTCAATGCGTAATATGTATCGTAGCTGTTTGAATTTGACTGCCATTGAAAAAGCTGGTGACACTCCATTACATTTAGCATTGAAACGTTTTGGTGGATGGCCAGTTGTTGTTGGCCAGAATTGGAATGGATCAAATTTCAATTGGATCGATATATTGATTAAATTCCGTGAACTTGGTTTTTCACATGATATTCTTATCGATCTATCGGTTACACCGGATTTTCGTAATAATACTCGCCATATAATTGATCTGGATCAAACATCATTAGGAATGCCTGATCGTAATTATTATAATAATGGCCTAAATGATTCATCTGTAGCAGCCTATTATAAATTAATGGTCGATAGTGCCGTATTTTTAGGCGCCAATCGTACGATAGCTGAAAAAGAAATGCTTGATGCATTACAATTTGAAACAACATTGGCTGCTTATTGTCTTCCACGTGAAGAACGTCGTAATATGAGTTCATTATATAATAAAATGAATATTCATCAAATACGACAATTGGCACCGAATATACATTGGGAAAAATATTTCGATTCATTATTGGGTATAAAGATTACCGATCAAGATGAAGTTATTGTAAATGTACCGAAATTCTTAACACAATTAGATGATTTATTACAAAGAACTGATAAAAAGTAAGTTTTTATGATTTCTGATTGTCAAGTTAATTATTTCAAACTTTGTATAATCAACAGGCTTTTAGCTAATTACATGATGTGGCGTGTAGCATTACAATCGCTACCAATGTTGGGCAAAAGATGGCGTGAATTGTTACAAGAATTTAATACAGTTGTAACGGGACAAGCAAGAGAAGAACCTCGTTGGGAACAATGTATATCATCATTGACCAATTCATTGGGAATCTCATTATCATCACTTTATGTAAGACATCATTTCAAAGGAAATTCTAAAGAACGTGCTCTTGAAATGGTTGACTATATACATCGAGAATTTATGAAAATTTTGGATCGTGTCGAATGGATGGATGATCAAACTAGACAACGTGCACGTGATAAAGCATTGGCCATTCGACCTTATATTGGATATCCAAATGAATTATTGAATAATACAGAGATTGAATCATTCTATAAAGGGGTATGTTTATAGTAGTCTTTTATGAAACACCAAATCAATTAATAATCATTCGGTTTTTATATAGCTCAAATTTGTAAAAGATGATTATTTTAGCAATGTACAAACTTTACGTAAATGGTCAACAGATTTGGCATTTGGATATCTACGAAAATTGAACAAAAAGGGAGAGTAAGTTATTCATTCATTTTGTAAATTATCCAACATTCAATAACGTTTTTCGTCGTTTTTTTTTGGCTTAATTAGCTGGCGTAAACATGGAAAATCTGCAGGTAAAATAATGAGTTAAATTTTTTTGGCTGTATGAAATTTACAATTTTTATTTCTATTTTTTTTTCATTCAGTTGTCAACGCATACTATAATATAATCGAGAATAGTATTGAATTTCCTGCCGGAATTTTACAGGGCGCATTCTTTTCCAGTGATCGACCAAAGTAAGATTTTACTAGTCTTTGCTTTGATTCTAACCGGATAGATATGAAGGTTGTTGGAACCAATCAACAATACTGGCATACACACATCGATGATGATCGTTAAAAGCAAGAAAAAAACTTTTCTTTTTTGTTTGATCGTAAAAAATGAACATTTTTTTCCTTGTCCATATTGATACGCTATATACATTTTTAAAGGGAAAAAAATTTTTTTCTAATGGTCATCGATCATTTTACAAATCGATCGATTGATCTGGTTTGTCTGTCTGTCTGTCAGTCTGTCGATGTAGGAATCAGTATTTTGAATTTTTTTAATTTTTAAAATTTTAACCATCACTTGGATGATTCTTTTTTTTCACTAAAAAAAATGTCTATAATTTCCTTTTCTAATTTTTTTTTCATCTTTATTATTACAGCTATCTGAATTTTGGTGCGATTGGTTTTGTCATTGGCCATGAAATTACACACGGTTTTGATGATAAAGGTAACTACTTTATGCGACCTTGTTGAAAATTCAAAACAATCGATAAAAAAAACAACAATCATATGATCGATTGATTCGATTGTTCATTTTTTTTTGGCTGGTCAAGTGACCACTACTGTTCCAATTCATTTTTTTCAATTTTTTTTCACTATAAATCTTGATTTTTTTAATGAAAAAAAAATTTTTTTTTACATCTCACTTTTTTTTCATAATAAAAATAGGTCGACAATTTGACAAGAATGGCAATAATGTGAATTGGTGGGAACCGGAAACGGATAAAAGTTTCAAAGAAAGAACGAAATGTATTATAGAACAATATGGTAATTATACGGTTCCGGAGAATGGTTTGAAGGTTAGTTTTTATTTTTATTTTTGTTTTGTTTTTTTTTTTGAGTTTTACACATACACACAATTTGTACTCGAAAAATTTTTCAGGATTTTTTCGACCTTCAACTAACTAGGACAATTCATAATTTTTTTTTATTTACAATACTTACTATTATTATTATATTATCACGAAAAGTAATAATTTGAATGATGATTGCACACACGTTATAAATAATACACATGTTTTTTCCTTTCTCTTTCTTTTTCTCTATGTGACAATCACATCATAAAGGTAAATGGCGTCAATACACAAGGTGAAAATATTGCCGATAATGGTGGCATTAAAGAAGCTTTCCGTGTAAGTATCAATAATTGAATTGAAACTTTTTTTCCCGATACGTTTTCCCAATAATTTGTCTGTCTGTCTGTGTGTGTATTTGTAGATTGAAAATGAAATTTTTACCATTTCTTTTTTTTCCCCATTTCTCTTTTATTTTATCGATTGATTGAATGAATGAATGAATTTGATGTTTATCGTTTATTTCATTATCATTAGGCATATCAAGAATATGTTAAAGATAATGGTGAAGAACCATCATTACCTGGATTGAAATATACACCTAAACAATTATTTTGGATATCGGCTGCAAATATTTGGTGTGGAAAATATCGTCCAGAAGTATTAAGACTTCGTTTACAGGCTGGTTCACATAGTCCAGCACAATTTCGTGTCATTGGTACTGTATCGAATTTGGAAGAATTTGGCGAAACATTTGGTTGTCCACCAGGTTCACCAATGCGTCCAGCGAAAAAATGTTCCGTTTGGTAATATACCATAACTACTATTAGAAATGGAGCTGGCGAAAATAGATATTCTCATGAAACAATTGACTAAATCAATTTTTCTTTGAAATATTCATTTCTATAAATTTTCAATCCATTAACCACACACACCCACACACAAGACATTTATTATTGGTCAGTATTCATCATCATCATTGAATTTATTTGGACATTATTGGTAACCAATTATCATAATCATCATCATAATGATTAGAGATATAGCTGAACATTTTTAATTATTTAGAAAATTTTTTCACTTATTCCCCATTACTTTTATCAATCATTATCATCATCATCATTGGTTTCAATGCATTCATACATTACCATACAAACATCACATCCAGCACAAACATGATTGATGTGTTATAAATTACATTTACGATTTTATCTATTATCTTCCAATTGAATCAAGGTATATATATTATTATTATTATTATTATTGACCATCAATTTATTCATTCATTCACTCATTCATTTATATTATGGATTGGATCGATCAATCGATTATATTTTGCTTTTTATTTTTATTTTGTTCACAAATTTGGTTTTGATCATTAACGCTAAATACGAATAATAATTTTTTTTCCTCATAATGTCGTCATCATCATCACATACCCTCAACATACCCACAATTCTATTCTATAGATGAATTTTTGTTTTAATTTTTTTTATCTTGACCAAACTTTTCATTCATAAAAAAAACAGAAAATGATTGACGGCTACCCATCCACTTTCTTTCTTTCTTTTTTTTGCCCAATTTTTTCCTGTTTCACTTCAATCGATTGCATTGAATTGATCCAAATTTTTTTCCGCTTTTTTTCCTCTCTCACACACACGCAGTTTTTTTCAACACTTGACAAAACACACACACAAACACATGGACAGCATTAGTAAATCAATATAATCAAAGTACATTACCTGGCAAATTATTTACCATTTTCTTTTCATTCCACACACACACAGAGAGAGATTACACAATCGTTCAAATAATGATTAAGATTATTTAACAGGTAAACCTTTTTATTGACTATTTCACACACCAATATTGATTGTTAAACATTAATTTTTTCATTTCATTATCATTTATTTCATTTCACTATTATGTAATCATCATTATTATTATAATATAAATTGATTAATAATAATAACTTTTTTGGTACAAATTCATTAAAAAAAAGTCCTTGTGCAACAACCTTGTGACCTCGAAAAAAATTTTTTTTTTGTGACAAAATGGTTAACCCTTTCGATTATTTGTTAGAAACCTTGAACGCGCGTGAACAAAAAACATTCAAAGGGTTGACAATAAAATAACCCTTACTTTTTTTTCTCTCTCTCGTTTAGTAAGTGAATTGGCCTTGACTATTTGTTGCATCCACATGATGATGAACTATGCCATAGATGTGGCCTTGGCATTTAGACCTTGATAATAGTTTTTTTTCTATTATTAGAAACAAACATTAGTATCAATGACCATCAATTTAAATGATCGACCTAAAAACAAATTATTCAAATACTGAATAACCTTCACTATCAAACAAAAATGACCTTCATATAACCTTCGACGGCCTAGTTAGTCTTTTGAATGGCCTCGTTTGGCCTAACACACACACACGTGCATTCATGCATTATGATGGTATATTGAGTTCAAGGGCCATGGGTTATAACTACTACCAAATCATTTATAAGTATTGACACATGACATGACCGTCAAACAAGTTTTTTTGAATGGTGGTTGGTCGATAAAAATTACAAATTGGGCCAGACCATGTTGGTGATCATGGTCATATCAAGGCCACGTGTTTTAGAACAACAACAAAAAAATTAATGTTATCTAATAAATTGACAAAAAAAGGTCAATGGTCATGGACAATGAAATAAACAACCAAAAAATCAATCACAGAGAAAAAGAAAAAAAACAAACGGGAAAAATTATCCAAAACGGGGAAAAAAATTGAACGAACCCGTTCCTTGAACCCTTGAAAATCTTCACGAAACAAATTTTTTTTTCTATTGACCGGTCATCATCAATGCAGAAGGGTCAATATCAAGGAAAATGGAAATTAATTTAAATTTTCACAACAAAAAACAAAAATCATACCATATGGCCGTCAACATCATCATCATCATCATTATTCATGATTCTCATGCGTCATTTTTTTTCTCTGCATTACTATAAATCATTCGATTATATTTATTTGAAATGCAAAAAAAACGAAATTTTTTTTATGGTTTGGAATGCATCAAATCACGCAATAATAAATAACTTTTGTCATATGATAAATGATGATGATCATGATGAACATCAATGATAATTATTGGACTTGATTGACAAAGTTTTTTTTTCATAATTCCATTTCATTTTGCATCAATCAATGATGGCCAATTGTTGATCATTCGATTAACCCTGTTGATGATCGGCACTGATGATTAATCGAATGTGGGAAAAAAATCATTCGATTATGAAAAAAAAATCCGTTTTTGCCCGAATTTTTGGCTTCTTTTTTTTGTCAAATCAACAAATTTTTACTTTACATGAAATTTTAAACTCTAAACAAAAGTGGTGTGATAATTCCAAAATGAAAACAAAAACAAAAACCCAAATCAACAACTACTACTGCCACTATTTATGATATGTGTGTGTGTGTGTGTGTGTGTGAAAATCCGATTTTTTCCGCATGTGGCCACAATCAAAAAAAATCGAATGATTTGCTTTTTTTTTCTGTAATCATCATCACCATTATGTATGCACGTGTTTTTGTAAAAAAAAAAAAAAAATTTATCACCAATACACACACTGTGTGTGTATGCAAATGAAACAATTGTATTATACCCTCTTTGGTGGTGGTGGTGGTGATGTTTTTTTTTTTCATCGTCTCTCTCTTGTCAACCATATGATTTTGTCATTTATTATTTTTTTCCTCCCTCATCCACCCGCAAAAAAAAAAAATTTTTTTTTTTTGCTGGTGGGGTGGGGGAGGAAAAAATGAGAGAAAAATGTGAGAAATTTTTTTTCTCTCTTTCTCTTTTTATTACAAAATTATACAAAATTTATAAATGAAACACACACACACACACACAACCATTTTTTTTTTGTATTATTATTTCATGATATTATTCTCATTTTGTATGGTTTACCAGAAAAAAAAATATCCACATCATCATCATCATCATCATAATTAGTAGTGGTAAATATTATCAATCTCGTCTCGTTTTTATAATAATAATAACTTTATATTATTCTTTTGGTGTTTTTGTTTTCTATTTTCATTCATACATACACACACACACACACACACACACACATTTGTTACATATTGCTATATCATCATCATCATTCATTCATTCATTCATTCAACTACTACTATAGTTGCTATATATCAAAAATTGTACTGTACATTTTTTTTCCATTTTCTTTTCCTTTTTTTTCTGTATTCAAAACTAAACATTTTTTGGGTATATAAATCTTCATTTTGTTTCAATGTCTAATCATCATCATTCATACTCATTGAATGTTGTTGTAGTTGTTGTTACAGTGATCATCATTCAATATATTGAATTCATCATCATTGATTCTACACACACACACACACATAATATAAGCAGAGACGAGAATTAACTCCCCTCAACAAGCTCTCTTTTTGTTTCTATTCGTAATCCGTTTTGGTTTTGGCTTGCTGTTGGCTTCTGGGTGTGAATTCATGACATTGCCACCACCATCATCACGATCATCATAATCTTAACCTAAAAAAAAAAACAGATTCCAGTTTGAAGAATTGTTAAAAAAAAAAAAATTAAACCAACCAGATATTTCTGAATTATTCATTCAAAATGTTGCCATTAATCAATGATGATGAGAATATTATTCATCAACATTCGCAACAACAACAACATCAACAACAGCATTCATCATTAAATTCCAATAAATCGATGACCAAATTATTACAAATGAAAATGGCAACCACAACATCGGCCGATGCAGCAGCTACAGCAACGGCTACAATGGCTGCACATACTGATAATGGTGGTGCATTATTGATGAAACAAATGAGCATACAACAACATCAACAACATCAACAATTTCATACAAATAATCATATTATTGAAAATTTTATCGAATCAGTACGTGAAATGAACGATGTTGTATTGATACCATCGAAATTGATGGATTTAGAACCAAAACCATCATCATCAATATCAAATAATAATTCGACAATATTAAATGATGATCTTTATTCATATTATCAGATGATAAATATAATCAAAAATGATCTCTTTGATACATCACATAGACAGCAACAATATCCAATGATGAATGATTCAAATAATTTATTTAAAGTACCAAAACGAAAAATTTCACGTCAACAACAACACCAACAACAACAACAACAACAACAAAACCATAATTGTAATAATAATCATGGCGTTGTTGAACGTTCTTGCCATTCACGTAGTGTATCATCAACAAATTTGGCTTCAATGTATCATGGTAATGGTAATGGTATCAATTATCAAACACAATTATCACAAACATCCAGTAATAATGGCCATTCAAGTCCTGTATCAGCGTCATCATCAGATAATGGTATTGAAATGAATGATAATACAGCAACGATGATGATGATGATGAATTCAACAACAACAACAATGAATGAATGCCACAATGCAAGACAATTGACAATACAATTTATACATCATTTACATTCATTATATTCAATATTGGAACATTTTACACAAGCTGCCGATATTATTACCGAACGTTATACACAAGAATTTGAACAATCAATTTGAAGAAAAAATTTCAAATTTCAAACATATCTTATTTTCTTATATATTATTATTATTATAATTGTTAAATCAATTTTTTCTTATCAATCAATCAATCAATTAACATTTTCAAATTATCAATCAATTTTTTCCACCCGTTGATGATTTATATATAGTGATTTGAAATTGTACCGTTTTTTTTTAAAAACTTTTAATCAATAAAATTTTTATCAAATTTTATCCATGTTATCCAGTGGTTTGCAATGGTTTTCCGTTATCTGATCTTTTTTTTTTTTTTTTGGTTGTTGTGTTTTTTTTCAAAAATAAACATCATCATTTGTCACCACCAGATGGCGCATGAGAATGGATAATTTTCTTCGAATTTGTGTTTGACAATGTGAACAGACATAAATACAGGAAAAAAAAATTACAAGACAAAATTAAATCTATCTATAGATATATCTATAAATGTAAGTGTTTTTAGAAATTTTTAAATCGTTTTTACACGTTTTTGTTTCATTTTGATCAAGGTTACATCACAATAATATTAATCATGGATCATGGTCATTCATCCACCTGTGTGTGCATCTCAATATTGATGATCAATTTTTACAAATTAAGATCTGACCTCTCAAATAAACAAACGTCGTGATCGTTATTACGTTAAAACGTGATCAACATTTGACAACAACAAACAAATAAATCGATGCTGTTGACCTATTGTGAAATAATGATCTTTCACATTTTTGTGGAAATTTCAATCAAAAGATCGATGCATTTCGTTCATTCGTTATGGTGATTGATATTAACACGCCACCGCAATCGTTTTTTTTTTAACACGAATCGTAATCAGCCAAACGAAATCCTTGTTGCGTTTTTTTTCTTCTAATTTCCAATGAAAAAAAAGACACCACCAAATAAAAACATACTCTCGAGAATGCACTCATTCAATAATGTGATATATTAGTATCGTTGAATATTTGAGTACATACACACACACAAAAAAAATTGAAATCTAGAAAATAAAAACTCTCACTAACCACCTCCGCAAACAAACCGACAAAATTCTAGCTAATTTTTCAAATTCAAATTCAACAATGTAAATATCAAAATTACATCGAATGATGATGCTGATGATGATGATGATATCAGAATGGAACAAACATTTGAAAATGCATGTTGTTGACCATATTGGACAAACATTTCATTACTGAGAAAAACCTTGAAATGCTGATAAACAAAACAAAATTGGTGATGGCCACGAATCGATCGAAATTTTTTTTTTTTTTTGACAAAGAATATTCTTCTGTTGTTTTCAATTATTCCCTTCTTACCAAATACATGCATACATTTGTCAATTTTTTTTTATTATTTCATTAATGATTCCATCACAAGAATTCACTGATTCCAAGAATTGACATTAGATATGAGAAAAAAAATAGCGTTAAAAATCTACATCTGGAAATATCCATTCAATGTATACATATGATCATGATGATGATGATGATAATTTTCTTCAAATGAATAAATGCCTAATTAGTTGTTTATGTTATGACACATGATGATGATGATGTTTATTTGTTTTGTCAGTTTTCATCATTTTTGTATATAATTCACCGCTTTCTCTATCTCTCACACTATTCTACATTCACATTTGAGGTTCATTAATTTTTCCACATCAATTGATGAAAATTTATTAATGGAATGGAGAATATTTAGCGGAAGAATATATATATTTTGACATTCAAGTTTGATAATAATAATAATAATAATAAATGATGATGATATAACAAACAAATCAAGAATTTTTCAATTTTTTTTTCTCTCCAAATGGCCAGAATGTTTCTAGTAGTTTGATTTTCTGGCTCATTCATTCTATGGATGGAATTTTTGCTCCCCTTTTTTTTGTTTGTTTGTTTGGCTTAATCATCATTAAACTTTAATGTTTGATTTTTTTTTCGTTTGTATCATTTGTTTCAACTGGTAGTTTCCAAAATAATACACCGTTGTTGATGATTCCACTGTGTGTGTGTGTACAGTCACAACCATTATCAATGATAATATTTTTGGCAAACAGAATTCAAGTCATGTTGACACACATGCCTGGTTCGTTCGTTTGTTTCATGAGAATTTTTTTTTTCATCACTTTGTTTCAGATCATTTTCATTCGATTCATTTCATTCATTCGAGTCGGTTCAATACGAAATTTTTTTTTTTGATTTTTGATTTTTTGATTTTCCGATTTTCCGATTATTCGTCGGCTTCAATATTTTGATCAAACAACAAACAACAACAACAACAAATGAATATGAAATTTACTTCCTTTTTTTCCTTGTCACGTTCATTATTCAATATCAATAACTGTGTTTTTTTTTGTGTGCGCGTGCATAATATAATGACGATTCTTCAAATTTCCAGTTTTTGGATTTCTCTCTCTCTCTCTCTCTCTATCTTTCGAAATTCTGATTCTGGGCTAGTTTTTTGGTTAAACGTTGTGAACAAATGTGTAACAAAAATGTTTAAAAATTCGTGAACCTCATCTCACATGTATACAGTATTTAGAGAGAGAGAGAGAGAGAGAGAGAGAAAGAGAGAAAGAAAATAAAACCAGAAAAAAGAAAAAAAACAACCCGATAATCCCAATATATTTTTCCATTTTACTTTCAATCAATTCATCACATGGTTTTTTTGGCTCAACCAGTCACATTATATTTTGGCCAAAGTCGATATAATGACGATTCTTCAAATTTCCAGTTTTGGATTTTCTCTCTCTCTCTCTCTATCTTCGAAATTCTGATTCTGGGCTAGTTTTTTTGGTTAAACGTTGTGAACAAATGTGTAACAAATGTACACAACGTTTACAGTATTTACAGATTGAGAGAGGGGAAAATAAAACCAGAAAAGAAAAGAAAAGAAAAACAACCCGATAATCCCAATATATTTTTTTCCATTTTTCCAGAGAGAGAGAGAGAGAGAGAGAGAGAGAGAGAGAGAGAGAGAGAGAGAGAGAGAAGAGGAAAAAAAAACCAGAAAAGAAAAGAAAAGAAAAACAACCCGATAATCCCAATATATTTTTTTCCATTTTTAGAGAGAGAGAGAGAGAGAGAGAGAGAGAGAGAGAGAGAGAGAGAGAGAGAGAGAGAGAGAGAGAGAGAGAGAGAGAGAAGGAAAAAAACCAGAAAAGAAAAAAAAAGAAAACAACCCGATAATCCCAATATATTTTTCCATTTTACTTTCAATCAATTCATCACATGGTTTTTTTTTGGCTCAACCAGTCACATTATATTTTGGCCAAAGTCGATATAATGACGATTCTTCAAATTTCCAGTTTTTTCTCTCTCTCTCTCTCTCTCTATCTTTCAGAAATTCTGATTCTGGGCTAGTTTTTGGTTAAACGTTGTGAACAAATGTGTAACAAATGTACACAACGTTTACAGAGAGAGAGAGAGAGAGAGAGAGAGAGAGAGAGAGAGAGAGAGAGAGAGAGAGAGAGAGAGAGAGAGGAGAAATAAAACCAGAAAGAAAAGAGAAAGAAAACAACCCGATAATCCCAATATATTTTTTTTTTCCAGAGAGAGAGAGAGAGAGAGAGAGAGAGAGAGAGAGAGAGAGAGAGAGAGAGAGAGAGAGAGAGAGAGAGAGAGAGAGAGAGAGAGAGAGAGAGAGAGAGAGAGAGAGAGAGAGAGAGAGAGAGAGAGAGAGAGAGAGAGAGAGAGAGAGAGAGAGAGAGAGAGAGAGAGAGAGAGAGAGAGAGAGAGAGAGAGAGAGAGAGAGAGAGAGAGAGAGAGAGAGAGAGAGAGAGAGAGAGAGAGAGAGAGAGAGAGAGAGAGAGAGAGAGAGAGGAAAATAAAAACCAGAAAAGAAAAGAAAAGAAAAACAACCCGATAATCCCAATATATTTTTTTCCATTTTTACTTTCAATCAATTCATCACATGGTTTTTTTTTGGCTCAACCAGTCACATTATATTTTGGCCAAAGTCGATATAATGACGATTCTTCAAATTTCCAGTTTTTGGATTTTTCTCTCTCTCTCTCTCTCTCTATCTTTCGAAATTCTGATTCTGGGCTAGTTTTTTGGTTAAACGTTGTGAACAAATGTGTAACAAATGTACACAACGTTTACAGTATTTACAGATTGAGAGAGAGAGAGAGAGAGAGAGAGAGAGAGAGAGAGAGAGAGAGGGAAAATAAAAACCAGAAAAGAAAAGAAAAGAAAAACAACCCGATAATATCAAAAATTGTACTGTACATTTTTTTCCATTTTCTTTTCCTTTTTTTTCTGTATTCAAAACTAAACATTTTTTGGGTATATAAATCTTCATTTTGTTTCAATGTCTAATCATCATCATTCATACTCATTGAATGTTGTTGTAGTTGTTGTTACAGTGATCATCATTCAATATATTGAATTCATCATCATTGATTCTACACACACACACACATAATATAAGCAGAGACGAGAATTAACTCCCCTCAACAAGCTCTCTTTTTGTTTCTATTCGTAATCCGTTTTGGTTTTGGCTTGCTGTTGGCTTCTGGGTGTGAATTCATGACATTGCCACCACCATCATCACGATCATCATAACCTTAACCTGCTACTGTTGCACTCATTTGGATTATTATTAATTTTTTTCAATCATCAAAAATTCTTCATTATTCTGTTGTTTCAAAGTGAATTCTTTCAATTCATTCATTTTTCAATGTCGAAACCAAAAAAAAAAAAAAATAAGTGCAAATTTGAACCTTGATCTTTTTCCATCACATCAATTGTTACTTATCTTCACTCTCTCTCTTTTTTTTTTAGTTATTTCATTCAACAACAACAACGACGACGACGGCGAAAAAAAAATGAGTTCGCACAAACGCAAACATTAAGTGCATCATGATTGCGTTATGATGATGATTATAATCATCATTATCGAACAAAACAAACTACATCATCATCATCATCATCATTATCATCATCATTGATTTTTCATTTTTCTCTACTAAAACCAAACCAAACCAAACAAACAAACATTCCGATATATACCGATACTGATTATTTCATTGTGACATGGAATGATGACAGTGAACAAATTCCAAAAAAAAAGGAAAAAGAAAAGAAAAAATTAATAATCATCATTGCACGTAATAATCATAATCATCATAATCATCATCATTCTTTATCGTCATGATTCTCTATTTTTGATAATGAATGTGTGTGTGTGTGTGTGTGTAAGCGATGATGATTGATAATTGTTAATTTTTATTCTCATGAATTCTGATCTCAAATTATTATCATATAAAAAAAAATCTTAACCAAATCTGAAAAACAGAATCTGTTTCAACAACCTACAATCATCATCAATCATGATGGATTAACCTCAGAAAACAAATGATCATTAATTGCCATCATTATCAACAAAATGAAATGCGTCAGTAATCTTTTTTTTTTTTTTTTTTTTGACTAATTTGATGATGAGATTGAAATTGATATAAACCTTAATAACGATGATGATGATGACGATGATAATGATAATAAAATAGACAAAAAAAAAGCAAACCAATTGTGTTCTAATAGATGATGTTCAACAACAACCAAAAAAAAAAAATTTTTACAATGCTCACACATACACAATGATGATGATGATGATGACAATGCATAAAATAACAAAATGAAATCAAAAACTCTCGACATTTTATTATTTGATCTACACACGCAGATATTATCTTCAATATAATCGTCATCATCATCATCATCATCATCATCAATGAAACGAAATTCATCGAAAAAAAAATCATTTTTTTGAGTGTAACTCGATCATAATCTAACTAGCTAACAATATATATATATCGAATCAAGAAAATCTTTTCTTTTGTTCGTTTTTTTTTATTTTAATTCCAAATTTAGAGATATCAAATCAAATCAAAACTTGATGATGGTTGAAAACAAAAACTATATATATATATATATACCGTTATTTGTGAATGTTGTCTTGTGAAATCATTCGAATTTGTTGATTTTTTTTTGATCTTCAGAATTAATATTTTTTTATGTTTATTTATTTTGTTTGTTGATTTTTGATTACATGAATGGAGAAAAAAAATGGCGACATTAAACATCTACATCATCATCATCATCAAAAACAACAACAACAACAATAACAACGGCGACAACAACAACAACAAAAACATCTTTAGTTCTCATTCTCAGTGATAATGATAATGAGAATGATGATGATGATCATGATGATGATCTTTGGACTTGTTATTTTGTTGCGCCATATATTATTATTATTATTTTTTTTTGCCATGATAATTGATAAAATTTTTTTTTCTCTGGTAATTCAATTTGATCATACGACTTGATCATGATGTGGATGATGATGATGATGATGATGACTTGAATCTCTCTGTGAATATGGGATGTGTGTGTCTGTGTATGCATATTTGTCTTTGTGTATCTTGATCATATTAATTTTTTCATCATTTGACGTCACGTCTAAATCCTAATCACCATCGTTCATTATTATTGTTGTCGTCGTTTTTGTTCATATGAAATCCAATGAATGAGATCAAAAAAAAAAAAAAAAAATCATTTTAATCTGAATGAATGTGAATTTTGAAATGTTTTGTATTGTTTTCGATGATTTTCATATTGAACAGTGAACAAAAAATTTTTCAATTGACGATTAAACTTTTAAAATGATTTTTATGCCGGAATATTATCCGGAATAACAATGTGTAACAATAATGAGAATAACAGCAGCAGCAGCAGCAGCATCAGCAGCAACAACAACAATGATGATGATCAAGAAAAAAAATCATCGAAATAATTTGTATGATAAAATTCATCATCATCATCATCATCATCATTATCGTGATCATAATCATTTTGAATATTATTATTATTATTGTATCAAAGATCCACCATCATCATCATGTTTTGCATCAAGAATCAATATTGAATATAAATCGATTCTATATATTCTATCATTATTATCAATATTATTATTATCATCATCATCGATGGCAATGAATCATTCATCATCATCAAATTTTTCTAGTCCATCCAATAATCAATACTCGTCATTACTACAATCATCTGTACAATTATCATCATCAACAACAACAACATCAACAACAACAATATCAACAACAACAACAAAGCCTAGTCAAGATGATCTAACAATCTTAACATTTGTTAAATGGTCTTCCGATGGTTCATCATCATTATCATCATCGTTAGATGAAGAATCTGAAGATTATTCAACAATAATTCCATCATCCTCATCATCATCAGTAGCAGCAATAGCCGAACATCATCATCATCGTCACCATCAGCAGCAACAACAACAACAAAAAGAATTGATAATAAAAAAAAATCTTTACCATCCAATCGTGTGGACATTTGTCAACGTTGTTGGTGCCACAAAGATCATGAATTAGATTGTCGTTTTCGTAATGATCAACAATCACAAATTGATTCCATTCCAGCATTTAATGATTCAAAAGATTTAATGAAAATAATTGACATGTAATTATCTTTAAGAAAATTGATTAACAAAAAAAAAGAGAAAAAAAAATTTAATCAATTATCGACCACTCATCAACACACACACACACACAAACACACTTGAATGAATTACTAATCCAATGATTCTTGTATGTTTATTTTGTTTTTCTCATTTCATTTTGATTAGAATCGCTTCAAATCAACCATATCTACGGCATTTAGATCGTGTACAATTATTGCCATATGTAAATATTGAAAAATTGTATGTTTAATTTTCGCCTCTTTTTTTGTTTACCATTTACAAGTCAAGTGCAACATTTTCGATTCTGTCATTTATTACCGAATGTTTTTTTTTATTCTTATTTCAGAATCATCGACAATAGTGGCCTTGAAATAATCGATGTCGATACATTTATTGGTAATTTTCATTTAAAAGAAATGTATGTTGTATACTAATGAATCAATAATGATTTGTTTTGTAAATATATCAACTGTCATATAAATTCTGTTTTTTAGATCATTAAAAAACAATAAATTACGAACAATCACATGGCGACATTTCGATGGACTTAATCTATTTGGTATGTGTGTTATATTTGTTTGTTTGTTGCAATTACAATTTTGTTAAAAAAAAAAAAAAAAAAATAGTCAATGAACCCATTGATTTGATTTATTTATATTTGTTTTGTTTTGTTTTCTTTTCATTTTGTTTATATAATATCGAATCACGATGATGATGATGATGATGATGATGATTAAGATCTCAGCCTGGAAAATAATCCATTCGAATGTGATTGTCCAATATCGAAATGGATTGAACAACTTGTCAATGATAATAAACACAATATTCTTGGACCATATTGGATGAATATTACCTGTTTATGGCCAAATGAATTGGAACAAAAACCACAAATTTTGGCTAATCTTTCATTGGACACTTGTACATTTCCAACGATTAAAACCGAACCAGATATAGTGGAAATCAATGAAAATGAATCAACAATTTTAACATGTACGGCTACAGGATTACCATTGCCAATGTAATGTCAAGAATGTAAATATTTAAAAAAAAAGAAAGACTAATCATATTCTCTAAAATTAGTATTGCCTGGAATACAACTGCAATGGATTCAAATTATACATTAATGGACGTTGAAAGTGATGAAACAACCATCGATGGAACATTGAAATTGTATACAGTGAAACAAATGTTACGCATTAATGATGCTCATGTAGATGACAATGACTATCTTGTATGTGAAGCTGAAAATTCTGCTGGTAAAGTATTTGCGAAGATTTCCGTCAATGTTCATTGTAAGTTTTCAATGATCATGATATGAAATAATTTTATTTTTAAATTTTTTTTTTCATCATCATCATCATTGTATAAAAATAGCTGCGCCTAAAATTGTCATTATGAAATTACAACGAAAATTTTACATCAACATTGTGTTTCGTATAAAAGGTATACCGTATGCAAAAACAACATGGTATAAAAATGGAAAACCATTAGAAATGTCTGAAGATTTTCATGAATATCAAATTGATCATCGTGCATTTATTGATGGCCATCTAGAAATACGTAAACAAACACAAGCAAATAATGGTGAATATACATTGATAGCGACAAATGAATTTGGTACAGTAAAACGTTCGATTAATGTTACATTCAATCAAGGTAATTGTATAGTATTAGTTTATAATTACTTAAAAAAAACCGATGCAATTTTATCAAAACAAAATTGATCTAGAATTTATTTCACCAGCTACAACATTTCCGGCCATGCCACCATTTATTAATCGACAACAGAATGATAATAAAAATAATCCACCCATTATTTCGGTGATGCCAAAAATGCCATCTGATATATCTGAATCGGATAGTTTCGATATAATCACCAGTAATGGAAACGATGGCCATGATGGTAGTAGTGGTGATAATGATTATGATGATGATGATGATAATAATAGCAACCATAATAATAATAATAATGGGATATTCAATTTCTCAACAAATTTTATCTTAAGTAGTTTGCTAATCATTTCAATAATTGTCATATTTGTCACAAGTCTAATGTTTCGTGGTCAAATTGGCTGTAAAAAGAAACCGATGCATCGATCATGGGAATCGGCAATCGATATTAATCATAATCAAAAATTACATGAACAATCATTCCCGTTGTCTTTATTAACAACATTACCTAATTGGTTGAATCGAAAATTACGATTAATACGTGCAAGACGTACAAATAATCGTCATCGTACATCTACACGGATACCACATACGCGTGCAATGATGTATTATAATAAAGGTCGTAATGGTGGACAAATACAACAGATTGATACAATGAATTCCAATCATACGAACATTATTAATTGGTCCACTGATTCATCATCAAGTAACAATAACAACAACAATGTTATTTTACCGAAAAAAACATCATATCGTCCAGAAAATGATCCAATAGCCATTATGATTAGCAATAAACAAGTTAATCGATCATTGGTGGAAAATTTCGTACAAAATCAAAACTATTTTTCTGAAGCACAACAACTTCTTAAGAATTCTGGTAAGAATCCTATTATCGGTTTGGTTCTTATTTTAACTATTTATCTTTATATAGCAATCTATCATATCAGTACTGAAAAGATTAATTTCATACGTGAATTGGGTGAAGGTGCATTTGGTCGTGTATTTTTGGGCACAGTTGATTATTTAACGGCCGATGAACCAACCACAATGGTGGCCATAAAAATGTTGAAAGAAACCCAAGCAAATTGTACTGATCTTCTTGATGAATTTTCACGTGAAGCAGAATTCTTGGCCAATCTAATACATCCGAATATTGTTACATTTTATGGTATTTCAATGGATGGCCCTACATTGATGATGCTTTTCGAATATATGGAATATGGTGATCTAAATAATTTTCTTCGCGAACGTGATCCATTCCATTCTAATTTGATTGGCAATAATAATAACAACAACAACAACAATGATGATAATGAAACAAAGCCATTGGTCAATTCATTTTCAGCCAATAACCGCCGTGAAATGCGACCATTAGAGCTAACAGATTTACTATATATTGCTACGCAGATTGCTGCCGGTATGGAATATCTAGCCACACAACATTTTGTACATCGTGATTTAGCCACCCGAAATTGTTTAGTCGGTGTTGGTTTGATAACTAAAATTGGTGATTTTGGAATGTCTCGTGATGTTTATGCTACCGATTATTATCGGGTATGTGTCATTCAATCATCAAATATAAAGTGTAATTAATTGATTTTTTTTCATCAATTAATTAATCAACAGGTTGGACGTGATGTTCTACTACCAATACGATGGATGAGTCCAGAAAGTATAATGTATCGAAAATATACCGTTGAAAGTGATTGCTGGAGTTTTGGTATTCTATTATGGGAAGTTTTAACCCATGGTAAACAGCCATGGTATGAATTTACTAATCTTGAAGTAATACAGAATGTTACACGTGGAAAATTACTTTCACCACCTGATAATTGTCCATTAGAATTATATAAAATAATGCTTGAATGTTGGCGTTTTAAACCAACAGAACGTGCCTCTATATCATCCGTACATAAAATATTGCGAACATTATTGGAAAGATATAAAACAATGGATCCATGTAATATACCGATGGTTAATCCAGATGTACCTATTATTATGGCGCCACCAACTGTACCATTAATGGCTAATAAAATGTACTTTGTACGACAACCTAGTCAACAAGATGATAATGATAATGATAATAATAATAATAATAATGAAGATGAAAATATCAACATTAATGTCAATGATGATGATGATGATGATGATGAAAATGATTATGGTGATATTATTGTTGGTAAACCGGAGGATGATCATCCAATCACCTATTTGAAATTGAGCCACTAAATATATAGTAGAAATGGAATATACGATTTTATACAATGAAAAACTTGAAAATTCAGTATTATTTTACTCATTGATTTACACACAAATATATGATACATTTATAAATCGATTTCGAACCATTGATTCATTATTAATCAAAGTGAATGCAGAAAAAAAAGTTGCAACTTTTTTCCATCATTCGATTTTAAATGTAAAATGATGATTGATTTCATTATATTTGGTGCCTTTGTATAATGTGAAATGAAAGAGAAATATATATTTTTTTTAATTTTATTATCATTCGAAAACAAATACAAAAATACAAAATCATCATATTTTGAAAACAACAGCAATTTTGTATAATAAAACAAACACATATCATATCACAATATTTTAAAATTGTTTCATTTCAAAAATTTTTTAAAAATCTGAACAACGACCTTTACGTTCCCAATCACCATATCTGGTAGGTTCTGGTCCTGTTGGTCCATTTATTTCACCAGTTTTAGGATTTTTATTATCAGGAAATGGATCATATGCTGGATTTGGTGATTGCGTTTCTACATCTAATACGGAATTCGGATCAACATGCGGTGAACGATTCATTAGACCAAGTGGTGTATTCGGTGATTGCAATTGTTCGGCATCTATTTCGGCAATTTTTTGTTGTACTTTTTCACGAAGATTTTTTTTCGATTTTTCATGTCCACTATGAGGATCAGTGAAAGTTGAACAAAATTGATTTATTCTTGTAAATTTTGAATATCGAATAATTTGAAACAAATAACCACAACGAATTGAAAACATTATGAAGATTAAAAATGAATGAATGAATTTGAACCAAAAACAACAACAACAACAAAAAGATTCGCAAATCATATGAATTCATGGACCATAAATAAAGGACGTATTGGGCATTGATTTATTTAAAATCATTTGGAAATTATCACCAAAAGAATAAGAATCGGAGGATTTTATTTTTTATTACAATATAAATTACAGATGAATAATATACTGATGAGATATTAGTATTTTTTTTTTTGTTTGTTTGTTTGTCTTTGTTTTTCATGTAATGTTAGATGAATCATCACAATTTTCTGTAGAATTACCAACATATATGTATAAAACCAACAGAGACAGATTATATTATCAAAGAGAGAGAGAGATGAATCAAAACAATGGTCAGTGTGTGTTCATGATCATGATCAGATAGAAATGACAACCAGAAACAGCAAAAAAAAAAAAAAAATTCATCATTAAACATAGAAAAAAAAATCAATTGTAATGTTATCATCATAATATGATATAATAAAGACATGAAAAAAGGAAGAAAAAAAAACAGAGCAGATTTATACGATCGAGAAAGAGATAGAGACAAAGTATATACTTGTAATCATCATCATCAAATTATAAAGTATAAATTACTTAGAATTATTATTATTATCAATATATAATAAATGGTATTAATTTTTCTTTTTTTTTATCATTTTTTTAACCTTTTTTTTGTTTGTTGCCATAAATAATAAGAATGTGTTTGTGGGTGTGTGGGTGTGTATCAAGTATATGAACATTAAGATAAAGATATATAAAGAATGAAAAATATGTTCAGATATTTTGTGTGTGTGTGTCTGTATGTGGTAAGGTGGTGTTGTTGTTCACAGAAGTGAAAATCATCATTTTCGATTGATCATTATTATTAAATGTGGGCGTGTAGATTTTTTTTATAGTTTCAATAGTTTCCTGAAATCCCAAATCCCCTGTTGTTGTTTTTTTACTAATTTTAGTATATTTATGAAAATAGGAAACAATTCAAACAATAAAAAAGGAAAGACAAAAAAAATTTGTTTTCATATGTTACGTGTTGGTGTGTTTGTTTGTTTGACAAAAACAATTTTTGCATTTTTTATCTTTTTACATCAATGTTTGCATTTTTATATATCTTGTATATATGTATATTTTTTTCTCGGTGTTTATGTCTGTGTATGTGTGCGGTATTAAAATTGAAATACAAATGTTTGTTTTATATGGTGGTGCTGAGTAAGAAAAGTGGATAATCGTTCATCAGAGCAGAAATAAGACAATTATAACACAGAGGAAAAAAAAGAAATTATGAGAATAGAAATGAAGAGTGTGAAGAAAAAACAAAGAAAGAAACGGATATTTTGCTTATACGGGGGTTGGTTGGTAGATGGTTCCGGTATGACTTGTATCATGTTGCAGATTTATGAAATTTCAAAAATATTTAATCACCGTTAATGATTGGTGTTTGTTGCTGAATTGGCGATGAATCATCATCATTAACAACGACATCCGGCATACCGCCATTTGTTGTTTCCATATCAGTGGTGATTGTACCACCACCAACATTGCTACCATTGGCTGCATTATTGTTGTTCGATGGTTGAGAATTATTCGATGAAAATGAACGAACACCATTCATTTTTTGTTTCATGTTCGGATGATGTTCACCACCACCTTTACCACTTTCATGACTACGGCCACCACGTGACATTCGTTGATTACGATGGGACGAATTACGCTGTGGGCGTTGTGGCTGATCACCACCAGGACCACCACTTCCACGATGACTATGTGACTTAGCTGATGAATGTGGTGTTTGGCCTTGTTGTGGTGGCTGCTGCTGAATTTGTTCATTGTTCGGATTACTGTTTGAGGATGGCATACTATCGGCACGATCTTGTCGAATTAATCCAGGTTCGGTTGGTGAATTATCTTTGCTGAAATTTCCACCACCACCACCACGACGTGTTCCGCTACCAAAACCACGTGGACCATATGTTCCACGTTGTTGTGGTCTTTCACGTGGAAGACGTGTGTCAGTTGGACCATTACCCCCGCCAGGACCACCAATAAAAGGACGTCGACCTTCTCGCGGTGGGCGATCATCACGTTGGGGTCGATCACTACGACGGCCACCAAGATGACCACCGCGCATACCACCAATGTTTCCACCGCGTCCTCCACGAGATGGTTGACCACCGCTACCACCACTCATATAATCATAATCAGGTCCAGTATTGTTTGCATGTTGTGAAGAATTTATAGTCACCGATTGCTGTCGTAATTGTTGGAACAGCTCGCTATTTTCTTTGCGTAATTTTTCCACTTCTTGTAAATGATTTATGTGATACTCGAGCAATATTTGAGCATTTTGAACAGATTCCAGAGTACCGACAAATACAAAAGGCACATATTCACGTGGTGCTTCATTCTCTTGGTCACCTTCAATTTTGACTCGAACTACACCAGATTTATCAACAATTTCTTGTATTACACGTCCACTACGACCAATCGTTTTGCCAACCAATGAACGAGGAATATCGATAATTTTTTCAGCAAACTCCAACATTGAACGAGCTTTGTGTAAAGCTTCAAGATTTTGCGTACGAATAAGGAATGCCGTAGGATTATCCATTATATCAATTTGAACGACACCAGCCACACCACGGGCCTGTTGAATATTGACACCATGTGCACCGATGGCCAAACCCATTAAATTTTCGGGCACCAAGATTCGTGCTTCATAAAAACCATGTTCATTTTGATTGGTCGGCATTCTTGTCGATTCTAATTTTTTGGCAGCCTCTTCGGCATCACCCAACAAGATCAATTTTTGTTTCAGATTACGGAAATGCATTTCGGATAACATTGCGGCACGATTCTCCAATTTCGAGGCAATAAAGCTCTTCTCGGTAGGCGATTGGGAATAGCCGATCACAACAAGACAGTTTTTGGTTTCATCAAAACGAACAACATTGGCACTGATCGACAATTTGAATTGTCGATGAGCTTCTTCTTTCAATAACCAACTAGTATTGAATGATTTGAAATCCTCCGGTATGGCTAATTCGAATCGGAAAAACGGATTTGTTCGTAGCAATGGATTCGGATTTTTCACTCGTATATCATCATTGGGAATAATTTCAGTAAAATTCTGTGCCGGATTTTGATTGCCCAAACCAGATGATGATGGATCATTTGATAATGTATTTTGCTGATTATGTTGAATGTATTCGACAACGTAGAAACAACCTTATGGAGAGAGGAAAAAATAACGTTGAAAGCTAATGGTTGAATCATCATCAATCAGAATAATCTTTACCTTTGATCATTTTGACAATAGCTCTGAACCATCCACGTGGTTGATCAGAACTTGATGAAAAAACTTCCACTTCCATACCGACAGTTATGTCCGGATTAGCGCCTTCCATTGAATTTGTGCAATTATTAGCATTAGCTGCATTAGATGATTGCAATTGATTACTAGTAGTATTGGAAGCATTCGAAATATTCAGACCAGATAGACCAGACAACAGTGAATTACTAGTTTTATCAATTTCGCCATTATCATTGTTGGTTGTTGCACTGGATGATGATGATAATGGTGATGTTGAAGCCGGAGGAAGTCGAATACGTGATATAGGAAATGAAGATCGTGGGAAGTAATTATTTTGAAATATAACAACAACATGGGTTTCATTCGTATTCGATGATGAAATGATCGTATTGGATTTGGCACCACCACCACCACTACCACTAGGACCACCACTTTGTTGACCAGAACCATTCATCGAGCCAAAACACATAGATTGATCATTAATCTGTTGTTGTTGTTGACTACTTGCATTATTATTTGATGATGATAATTGACAGTCTTGTGGTTGTGATAATTGTGATGGTTCAATTATGTCATAAAGATAAGCAGGATAGAAAACACCATTTTCGCCTTGAACTTCAACGGCACCATTCCGCAAAAAATCTTGAGACAAATCGGACATCATTGTTGTGTTTGTTTCATATATATTCATTACTAAATTATATCCACAAGAAAAAGATAAAACAGAATTTATTATTTTTGATGAATGAAAAAAAACATCAGCTTCAGTGAATAACAACAAAAAAACTTACCAGCAAAAAAAGTGAATGAAACAAAAAAGAATACTGATATTTTTTTTCACTTGAATGAATTATAATCGTTGCTATTACTTAAAACAAAACAAAACGAAAAAACACAAACACGAAAACTATTGAAATGCTGGTTGTGAATGTCTGTGATTGATTTTTGTGTGTTTAATAATAAGAAAAAAAAACGAAGATAATTAAAACACACACACTAACAAACAAAGTAGAAAAAAAATGGTGACGAGATCAAAGTTTCAAATGTTAAAGTTTTTCTTCAATTCTTTTTATAACTGATTGGGGTTTTACGATAAACACGAACAAAATAATCCAAAACGGGATCTAGGTTCAAAAATAGTAATGTGGGAGAGAGAGAGAAAAACAATAATCAGATTATAATATTATTAATGTAACAAAAAAACAAAATTCTTAACGACATGATTTATTTATGACGAAAAAAATTGGCTAACAATTTTTTTAGCAATCAAATTCATAACTCTAATTTTCTTGTGCAGCATATAAAAACAAACAGATACAGATATATACCCACAACTCCTATAATCATCGATTAAAATGACAAAAAAAACTCACCAGAATTCAAGAGAATCAAAAACCGGAATCAAAGATTCTTTGATACAGCCAAAAAAAAAATCTCATATACAAGACACAGACGATAAGCAAAAAAAAACAAGTCAAATCAAAAAATGGAAAATTTTTTCTTTCACATTCGAAATGTGCTAAAGTGAGAGATCATAGATCATGAATTTTTTTTTGTTCTATTTCTTCGTGTTATTTTTTGTCGTATCAAATCAAAAATCATAAAAAAATGATGAAATTGAGAAAGCCAAAAAAAAAGAAAAAAACACTCACATTCAAGACAAAGTACTCGGTAAAAGTTTGGTGTGTTTGCATGCAAAATAAAGACGGTGTGGTTCTTCTATAGCCACACAAACACACACTCAGCAAGATCAATGAAACTACCAACAAAAAAAAAATGCAAAAATTGTAGTAGCATATAAATCTAGTACCACCCGGCTGTATAAAATAGCACACAACGAAAGCAACGAATGGATTTCATATCATTTCGAGAACAATCATCCTATAATTTATGAATGGCTCAAAAAAAAAAAAAAAAAAAAAATACAATGAGATTTTTTTTTTCTCATTCCTGCATCGATTCTATTCGATGATGACGACAATTCAAACTGATGGAATTTCAATTCAAACCAAGAAAAGATCTATGGCTAAATGATAACATGTGAAATTGAATATTCAGTAGAATTCAATCAGTATCAGTTTATATTGAGAAAATTGTAATTGTGTGTGACAATTATACGCACATAAATTCACTATAGTATAGGAAAAGCTAAAAATAACTAAAGAAATTATTATAAACAACATTCATAATCTAAGACGATATATGACATATTGTTGATTACACATTTAGACATCATCATCATCATCATCATCACCAGGAAAACAACTGAAGTGAAATGTCACCATCACACATCAACATTGTTGTTTTCATCGGCGTCTTTTGTTGATTCTAATTAAAAAAAAACGAAAAACTAGGTTGCACAAATTTTAGCATGGGGCAAAAACTGTAGAATTTGTTTCTAAGTATAAACAACAAGAAAAAACGCCCCTCAAAGAAAAAATTAACATGTCTTTATTGAAGATTGAGGAAATGCATGCATAAAAAAAACAGACACACACATAAACACACACGATGTTAATTCTAATTCAACATACCTTTTTCTAGCCGATAATAACCGAAAAAAATAAACACTATCAATCAATAAAATATAAACGGGATGAATGATGATTGAAAAAAAACTCGATGAATACTCTCATTATAACAAAAAAAAACAGCTAATCATTTGTTCAAAATGGTTGTCAACAACACACAAAACACAAACGTTCGAAAAGCGAACAAAAGTGGAAAAAAAACTTTACAAAAAAAAAGAAAGAAAATATGGGCAAAAAAAAAAAAAAATCAAAAGTACTTACCGAATGAGAAACACAACCAAGACATTAAGCAAATGAATAAACCATTAACATGAATGTATATATATTCAAAACTGTGATTTGTAATAAATTCGAAATTGAATCGAATTAAATTTGTTTTTTTTTGTTTCGATTGATTAAATTTATTTATGTCAGAATTATTGTAATGAGGAATCGATTTCAATCGACGACAAAAAAAAACGTGGTTAAAAAAAAAAAAATACAAAAAATCAAATGCCGTAAAAATAGAAAAATTGGAAAAAAAACTATTTTCCATTCACAAGGCAAAAATAGACAAACAATGTGTGAGAGACAATGAACACAAAAACAAAAAAAAAAACATTTCATTCGATTTCTTTTCCTGTACACAGAGAAAAAAAGTGTGAGAAGACTAAAGTCTACGAATTTTGTTGATTTTTTTTCTCCAATTTTAAAGACCAGTCATCAAAAATAAAGTTTGAACACCATTTTTGATGAATGATTATTTACGCATTGTTACATATTTTTCTGCGTGCACACTCTCTTTTTTTCACATTCTGTCCATCCATCCATCCATTTTCGTTTTGTTCATTACAATCGTGTAGTAGTAGTATTGATAATAGTTACTGAACACAATGTGTGCTAGTAGCAATGATAAAAAAAACATTTTATTTTATTATATCATCAACCATGCTACTACTACGATTAAAATATTGAAAAAAATAAATGATGCGCGCGGAAATTTTTGTTCCATCTAGTGGAAAAATTTTCAATGATTAAATTTCCAAATACGATGATGATGATGATGATGATGATTATTTTTGGCTGGGGGGGGGGCGGCAGAGCGAATTCTAAATTTCCATCGAGCTTTCACTACCTTCCATCAATGTTTGTTGACTATTTTGTCCACCACCACCATTTGTTGTTGTCGATACATCCAATAGAAAATTAAATTCTTTTTCATATTGTTCAATGAATGCTTTGGAACGTTTTGAATCCATAAAAAGTCCATATGCTTCTTTTACATCTTGTACTTCAACCTGATTGGATTTTCGTTTTTTAGCCAAAATATCCGATGTAATTATTAATTGAAGAGAATATCTGCAAATGATGAAAAGAGAAAAATTCGTCATGAATCATATGGTAATCAACAAATTTCAGACTTACCTTAAACTAGATTCAGTGGCCATTTTTGTAAGAATAAGATGTGCATCATCATGAATATTAACCTGTTCTTCTTCGGCACGAATCTTTAATATTTGTGAAATATCTTCATTTGAATACGGTATTGTACGAATAATGATTAAACGATCAAGAAAATCTGGTGGAAATCCATGTGGTGATTTGAATGTTGTACCACGTATTTTTGTTATACCACGATTAGTGGCAAATATAACTATTGGTGCAAATTCTGATTCTAATGCTCGATTTAGAAATGAAAAACATTCAGCATCCAACATATGTGCTTCATCGATGAACAATACACCTGGATGTAGTTCAGCTTTTCCTTCATCTTTCCATTCAGAAATTTTTGCATTAACTTTCATACGATCTTCGGATTTAATTTCTCCAGTATCACCCGAAAATAGGGCCATAAATCCTTGTTGTCGTGAATTAATAACATCAATCTCATGAAGATTAAGAAAATGTCGAACAATTTTACGTTTCTGAATTTCACCTTCAGGACAATGAATGAATTTAGTGTTCGGTCCAATAGCATCATAATCTTGGCTACGAGTGAAATTTCTTCCCATTTTAGTCACAACACCATTCGATTTATTAATGGTGATTATATCACCAGCCGTTACTTTTTCCTTAATTAAATTATCAATCATTTTTTGGCCCAAATCATAAACAGTTTCCATATCGGTTGATTTCAATGTCAATTTTCCAACACGTGTCAATTGATCAGCTGAACGATCGATTTGAATTTCGACAACTTCACCTTCAAGAAAATCACTTTCTTCTTTAATACTTATAGAAATAGCTTTACGGAATGCTTGCATTAATGATTCAGATTTGGATATATCCAATGAAAACAATTCAGATGCTGACATTGAAACAAATGGTGTTTCTTGTGATAATGATTTAGCTATGCCCATTGCAATAGCTGTTTTTCCCGTACCCGGTTGTCCAGCAATCAAAATGGCACGTCCAGATATTCGTCCTTCTTTGATCATTTTAACAACAATACCAGCAGCTTTACGTGCAGCATTTTGTCCGACCATTCCTTCAGACTGTCAAATGAAATAAGTAAAAAAAAAAATTTCTCAAAAATCAAATCAACAAATGAAAAAACACAAACCTTTTGAATTGGTTCAAGTTTATCATCCAAACCTAATCCACGAATATGTGAATGAGCACCAGTTCGTTCCAATTTCTGGATAACTTGTTGCTCACCAACAATTTGATCTACATCCATGATTTTTAGAGAATTTGTTGCAAATAAAACAAAAAATAATCAACTTTGAATCGTTTAATTTAATAGCTTGACACAAACAACAGAAAAGAAAAAAAAACATGTGCTTTTCCGTTCATAGATGTCGTTTAGAAGTTTTTTTTTCCATTTTTCCATTCCTGCTGACATCTGATGGTGATGATTTCCAAAAAAAAAAAAAACATTTATTGTTATAATAACAAAAATCAATATTAGATGGCAGCAAATGTATTTTTTGAATATTTGTTGGCGCCAAATCTTAATATAATAATACAAAGTGCAAAAAACATCATTTTTTTTGTTTTAAATCAACATTTCGTTTATTATTAATTATTAATTTTTTAATTATCAATTATTAAAAATTATTATTATTATTATTAGTAGTAGTAGTAGTTTGACATCACATCGATACATGAACGAACAAACGATCATCATCATCATCAGCCCAACATCGACATTGGTAATAATATGAATCACACATGTTGATGATGATGATTCATGATGAAATACATTCACACACACAAATGACAAATACATAGAATTCTTCAAATTGGAAGAGATTATTTTATCAACAAGTAAAAATGTGAAAAATAAATGTGTGTGTGTATGTGTGTTTGTGTCTTATTATCGCAAATGTATTGACTATATATTAATAATATAACTATATATATATATATATATATCATTCAGATTTTTTTTTCATTTTACCACCAATGTAAAAAAAAAATATTCGCTTCACAATCGATGATTGATGATCAATCTTTCACAAAAAAAAAATGTAATTGTCACAATAGTAAGGTTGGTGTTTGTGTTGAATATGAAGATCATTTTTTTTTGTTATATTTGAATAAAAAATAAACAATGAAAGATGAAAGCAAGAGAGAGATTGAGAATAAAGATCAAATTGATGATGATTAGTTTTTATATTAGCAATTTATTGATTTTTTTTTTTGATAATTTTTTTTTGTTGTTGTTGTATGTATAGATTCCTATTATAATGATTTTTTTTCAATATAAATCGATAATGAAAATAAACTAGATTTATCCAAAAGAAAGAAAGAAATGGTTGTTGTTGTTGTGTGTGTGTAATTGATTGATTTATTGATTGGATGATTGGATGGTGTGTGTGTGTATGTGTGATTATGCACCAGGAACAATATTTCAGTTCAATTTCTTTCACTGTTGTTGTTGTTGTTGTTGTTGTTTGCTGTAAACCACATCCATATTGAAATGGAAATCACAAATATTCAACTGTGGGTGTATGTGGGTGTGGGTGTGGGTGTTTTATTATTATTATTATATAACACTAATTATGCTATATCATCAATATTTTTTTTTTTTTTTTAGTACCAGCATATATAGTAATAGCAATTGTATTCAGTGTTCAATCAATGAGTTTTTATATATATGTTTAAACGTGTTTGTTTGTTTGTTTGTTTGCACATATATATAACAATTCGATTCAATTTGATGATCAATCATTATTGTTGTTGTTGTTGTTGTTGTTTTTTTTCAAATTGATGATGGTTGATAAAGTTTTTTCTTATTCAAGAGGTAGATTTCTGATAAAATGATTGGTGTACGTTTAAAGAAACGATATTCCAATGATTCAAACCAAGATGGTTTAACACGTTTTAATGTTAGAAAGACTTCAAATGTTGGTACAATATCTGGATCAATTACAAATTCACCCAATAATTTTGTTGATGATGTATTTATTTTATATTGATGATTATTATTATTATTATTTGGACGGCGACGATTATTATTATTGTTGTTGTTGTTGCTGTTGCTATTATTATTATTATTAACAACAACATTATCATCATCATTTTCAATAAAGATCAATAATAGACAACCACGTAAACCGCATGGTTCACATTCAGCCATTTCAATCACATTTGTTACAATTTGTTGCATCAACATTTGTGGTATTAATATTTCTGTACAATGAACTAGCCGTGTTTCTTTAGCCAAACGTAATATATTTTCAATACCTTTTGCTAAACGTACAATAATTTCATCATTATAATTTGCAGTATGATGATGATTATTATCAATAAAATAATTCCATGATGACGATGACGATGACGATGACGATGATGATGATGATGATGTTTTCGTTGACATATCATCATCATATTTGTCAATCAAATCTAACGAAATGAAACAAAGAAACAAAAATACATTCATTAGACACACATGTATGCAAAAAAAAAAAAACAAAAAACGACAATGATCATTCTTCTACATGCATTAAAAAAAGAGACACAATGTAATAAATTATAATTAAATTTAAATTTAGAATCAACCACCACCACCACCAACACCAGCACCACAATCACGATCATTCATTTGTTGATGATTATCAAACATGGTTTTTTGGTTTTACAATCAGAATATAAATAAGAATTGATGATAGATATGTAATATATTCACAAACATCGTCGTCGTCGTCGTCGTCGTCAAGTCGACGACAAGCTGTTATTTTTTTTCTCTCTCTCAATTCTTATGTTTATTCTTGTTAGAAGAAATTTCATTTCATTTTTTTTTCTCAACAACACTACAAACGACAAAAACGACAAGACAAGACAAGACAAAAGAAATTATATTTATTCATTCCTTTGTATGTGTGTGTGCAACGCTATTAGTTCATTGATCGATTTGATATTTTTGATTCGATTCTCAACATTGATCGATATATTAATATATATATAACGTACATGTCGAATCTTGAGAATAAGTCGAAATAGAGGATTTAAAAAAATGAAATTTTTCATCATCACAATTGGCGTGTATATTGAAGGGGCCGAAAAATTTTTTTCTTTTCGTTTCTGTTTTGTTATGTATGGATGGATGTATTGTAATACCATACCATCAATATATGATGATGATGATGATAATAATTAACATGAATAATTAACTGAGAAATGAGAATTAAAAAAAAACAAAGAGAGAGAGAGAGAGAGAAACCCACACAAATTATTTATAATTTTTTTTTGTTTTGCACATAAAAAGCCGTAGCGAAACAACCAAACCAAAAAAAAAAAACGACAAAACATCATTATCATCAATGTTTGTAGTCATGGACAAGAAAAAAAAAGTAAAATCAAATGAAACGAATGAAGAAGAAGAAAAAAAAAATTGCACTTAACCAAACCAAAAAACCAAAACGAAACGAAAAAAAAAAAATGAATTAGAATGAGCTCTAAAGAGAGAAAAAACAACAGAAGACAGAGAGAAAGATAATGGGAAAAATAAATCTAACCAAAAAAAAAAAATATAAATTCAGTGCATTTGCACCGAAAATTTTCATTCTATTTTCTTATTTAAGGAGCTGTGTGTTAAATGTTTTCTTCTTCTTCTTCTTCTTCTTGTTCTATTATAATGGATGGATAAAAAGATCATCATCATCATCATCATCATCATCAAATCTCCGTCCATGATGATGATGATGATGATGATGATAATGGAAATGAATAAAATGAATGAAATGAAATAAAGAATATATAAAAAAATGATGAATATGTAAAAAAATCAAATCTATGGCTACTACTACGATGGTTGATGTATATATAGATAGATAATTTTTTTTTATATATATGAAAATATTAAAATAATGATAAAAAAAAATGTAATGAAAAATGAATTTGTGTGTGTGTGTATGTCGGATAAAAAATACAATACAATTTTCAGGTATTTTATAAATGTTAACTCTGTTGCTGCTGTTGTTGTTGTGTATATACATCAGTATATCAGAAATATATAAATAAAAAAAAAAAATACAGGTAGGTAGGTAGGTAGGTAGATAAATAGATAAAAAAAAAATAATTTTCTACATCATCATTCATTCATTCAACCTTGAGCCATGATTTGGTGATGATGATGATGATGATCGTGCAATAGATGCAAATTATTATTTTGTCAAAAAAAAAAAAAAAAAAACAAGTCCATCTCCTTTTCTCTCTCTCTCTCTGTCTCTTTTCCATTTCTCACCTTTCAATCATCATCATCATCATCATTTGAATGAATCGATTACAAGTTAGGTTAAAATAGTAATAGTTTTTTTTGTTAAAATTTTTAAAATTTTTTTTAAATTCATATCATAAAAAAAACAAACTGGAATAGAAATAGAAAACTGGTACTTACTTGTTTTATTAGAATTAATAGTAGTAGTAGTGGTATTTGTTACATTATTAGCTTGTGATGATATTTTTTTATTATCATTTGTATTGATAATCATTTTGTTCCGGTTATTCCATTCATAAATGTTGTTATCATAATTCATTGAAAGATTTGTATCAATAATGCCATTTTGGTTACAATTATCACCACCACCACCATTACCATTACCACCATTACCATCATTATTAACATAGATACCACCGGTTTGTTGTTGAGAAAAATGTCGCCGTCGTATTGGACGTACTGAATTACCATTCATATAGGACATTGGTGGCATTTTCATTGCTGATACATTATTATGATTTAATAAATTAACATCAATAGTAGTATCATCAACACCATTCGAAGATGATGATGACGATGACGATGATGATGTAGTTGATGCTGAAGAGGAAGAAGAAGAAGATGATGATGTATGGCCAATACGATTAACATTATTTGTATCAAATAATATTGATGATGATAATCTTTGATTACAAGCCATTGATGCCATTCTTGTTTTTGCTATAGTTTTTATTGATTGATTAGACCATATGGTTGATGATAACGATAATGATGGTGATTGAATATTATTATTGCTACAACCAACACCACCACCACCACCACCACTATCAACACAGTTATTACTACTGTTAATATCACCAATGATGGGTGTGGCAACCGTTACAATTTTCAATGTAGATGCTGATGATGATGGATGATTTGGCTGTTGTTGTTGTTGTTGTTGTTGTTGTTGTTGATTGACAACACTTTTTATCGTTTTTTATTATCAATGATGATGACGATGATGATGATGAAATTTGATCATTTGATTCTGTTATCAAAAATGATGATGATTTGGTCATTCTTTCTTTCTTTTTTTTTATTATTATTATTAATAGAAAAATTTTCAGTCAGAAAAAAACGACAACAAACAACAACAAAACAAATATTTTTTTCATTCATTCAACTATTTCGATATGAGATTCAAAAATGTCGTAGGTGGCTGTGTGTATGTCATTGTTTTGTTTTTTGTATCATAACACAGGAGATAGTGTGTGTGTGTGTGTCTGTGGTGTTAAATTTTTTTTTTTTTTTTTTAGTTTTCCTGAGATTATTATTTGATGATGAATATATATATAATACTTTTTTGTTTCTGTTTCGGTTTTGGTTGTTTTTTTTTTTTTTGTTTTGATTTGTTTATTTTGAAATTGAGAATTGATTTATTGATTATTACTAATAATGAAATAAAACAAAACAAAACAAAAAACAAAAAAAATGAGATCGATGACCTGATGGATGGATATTTTTTGTTGTTGTTGTTGTTGTTGTTGTTGTGAACATAAGTGTAAAAGTTTGTGTGTGTGTGTGCGTGTGTACGTGTGTGTGTATTATAGAAACAAAAAAGATATGTAGATGTTTTTCAAATCATTTCATCAATACAATGAATTTGATGATGATGACCAACAATTCTGGACACTACCACACGTACATCATTTGTATTTGTATTTGGACTATTCTTTGGATTCTTTGCTTGTTGGTGGTTCACAAGATTTAAAATTGACTAAAAAAATTTACTAATGTGATTGACAAACAAACATGAAAACAAAAAATTGGCATCCAATTTAGTAGTGGTTGATTGAGATTGAGAATAGAAAAAAAAAACATCGATGATGATGATGATAATGATGAAACAGGATAGAAATTAACAAAAAAAAATGGGACAAATAATAATCAAAAAAAAAAATTAACAAACAGCAAAAAAAATGAAATGAAATAAAATAACATCAAATTGAGAATGTATGATCACTTTGGATTTGGATTTGGATTCTTTCTCGTGTGTGTGTATGTGTGTATGTTTTGTTTATTTCATCTGGTTATGACATTTTTTTTCTCATATGAACAAATGTTTGATAAATTCTGTGGATTCTTCAATCAATCATCAATTTGTTTGTCATCCAAACACACACAAAAAAAAAATCTTCAAATGATGATCATAATCATGAGAGATGAAAATGTTCTTGTTTTTTTCGTTGTTCTTGTTGTTGTTGATGATTATGATAATATGAATGACGAGATTGAAGAAGACGACGACGACGACGACCACGACGATCGACTAATAATGAATGATCATGATATGTGAGAATCACTATTCAAGAACAGGATTCATCATCATCATCATTCTTTAGTCATTCAGCCTTGATTGTTATGAATTGTGGAAGAAAAAAAAAAAAAAAGATGTAGATCCACAATCATCATCATCATCATCAACAACATCAATATTATAACACAAAAGACTCATTGAACAAGAGAATACTGGTGGATAGAGATGGATGGATGGATGAAAAGATGAATGTGGTGTGTGTGTGTGTGTGTGTAATATATTTGTGAGGCAATAACGAATATACAAAATTACACAAAGAAGAAACGAGAATGATGATGATGAAATAAAGAGGAAGATGTTTTTTTTTTTTTCACCAAATAACAAAATATTGGTGGAAGTAGCACATGTATCTGTGTGTGTGTGTGTGTGTGTATGACTAGATTTTAATATTGAAAATATACATTTCAAACTAGAATATATATAAAAAGAGAAGAATTGTATAGAATTTTGCATAGGATGATGATGATGATGATGAAGAGAATTGAAACAGAAAAAAAAACAGACGAAATATAAAGTGTAATAATAATAATAATCGAATTTCAAGTTTGTATAACAGTGTTGTTTATTGTATATTGTGTTTGGAAAGAAGAACAAAGAAAAACTGGAGATAACGATTCATCGAAAAGAAAAAAAAAATCAAATGAATTGCACACACACACACACACACACAGACAAATACAATTGTCAAAAGTTTGTGAAAATGAACCAAACCCGAAATTTTTTTTTTCTGTTTCTATATATATATATGAGAGAAAGAGATAGTGGTACAAAAAAAACAGAAAAATTTAGTAGCAGACGACATTAAATGTTGTGGTTTATATAATGATGGTGGTGGTAGTAGTGGTATATATACATTTGATAGATTAATGCACTCAGCTGATTTTAGAGAAACGCTTAGTAACAGGAATAATGATGATGAAGATGATGATGAACAACAGGAAAGAACTATTAATACTTGCCACTGCTACATTTTCTTTTGTTCAATATTAACCAATCACAAATCCCATGGTAACAATGTATGTGTGTGTGTGTGTTTGTGTGGTAGTGGTTCATTCAACAAAGCTCTTTATATATTTCAATCCAATTTTTTTTTGTTTAACATTCAGCTGTCTGTTCTTTATTATTCTTTTGTATGTATTGTATTTATGTATGTCATATATATATATATATACAACCGACGACGACGACGACGACAACAGCGACAAACACACATGGTTTGGCAAATACATACATCTTTTGTGTGTAATGAAAAAAAAAAAAAATAAAAATAAAAAGAAAAAACCGTCATCTTTTTTTTTCATCATGATCCTCATCCTTTTTTCGTTTCGTTTCGTTTTGTTCTCTCCTCTTCATTGCACTTATATATAAATGATGATGATGATATATAAAATGAAACAATATTGTACAACGGCAACTACGACAACTACAACAAATGGATTTATATTATGAAAATGATGATGATGAAATGAATTGAAATGAAATGAAAAAAAAATTTTTTTTTCTGGTAATTTAATGGTGAACGAGCAAACAAGAAGAAGAAAAAAAAAAGAAATAAATTAGCTATAAATCTATCTCTAAATGATTTCGATCATCATCATCATGATCATGATCATTGAATTTTAGCTTTTTGTTGTTGTTGTTGTTCCATCATTCTACTATATATATATGTGTGTCTGGATCTTGTTTGACATCACTCAATAATAACAACAACAACAACAACAAAAACGATCACAGACAGGATAGACAGAATGACGGATGGATGGATGGATGGATGGATGAACCAGTCAACCACACACACACACACACACACATAATAGGGGCAAAGTTTGTAACAATGAAACAAAAAAAAAAAATTGGTAAACTTTTGGAAGGTGGTCCAAAAAAAAAATCCACAATGGATTCAAGGTCATAATAAAGTAGTAGTAGTAGTAGTAGTTATTTATATAACGGTAATAATAATAATGGTGACCACTTTTCCGTTTCCGTTTTTTTTTCGTCTGTTCCCACACAATATCTGATTGATTATATTGTTCTGTGTTTGTGTTACCGTTTTTTGTTCGTTGGTAAATGCACATGTCAACCAACCATTCAATGTCAATGACGATGATGTTGTCTTAGACAGACAAAAAAAAAAAAAAAAAAAAAAAAATACAGACACCCTGTATATTGCTATATATTTATTCTGTTTATTTTTCATAAGAGGATGTGAGATAGACAACAACAACAACAAAATTACATTCTAAAATTCTTACGATTTTTTTTTTGATTGCAGCCGTGGCCTTTGGCCTTTCTTTGTTTGTAAAAAAAAAAAAATTCATCCCACTTTAGTCGTTCATTTTTGATGGTCAAACCTTGGTTGTGGTGGTGGTGGTGGTGGTGCTGGTAACAGCAGGCAATCTTTCATTCATTTGGTTGGTTGGTTGATTGGTTGGCTGGTTGATTGCTTGATTTGGTTTTTTTTCTCGTTCTGATTTCTTTTCTCTCATTTGTTGTTTGACTACAATTTTTATTTTTCTTTTTTTCCAATTCATGGAAAAATTTTTCTCTATTTCATTCAGCCCAAAAAACAGCAAGAATAAGAAGAATAGACAGAAAAAACCACCAAATAATCTTCTGGTAATAAAAAAAAAGACGACGAATGAATGATTGGATTATATGTGACCAAATTATTCTGAATAAAAATAATCAGATTATCAAATTTGGAAATTTTATTTTTCAAAGAAAAATGGGAAATTTTCTCGGAAATATTCCCAGAAAAACAAAGAAAAATTCAAATTTTTTTTGTTTTAAATCAATTCGTAATCGATAACGATGATGATGATGATGATGATATAACAACGATAAGGATAATGATCATGCATGAATCTAGCCAAAAAATTTTTTTTTTCTGTACGTTAAAAATGATCAATCAATCAACCAATCAATGATCAATCAATATGGAATTGAAAAGGGAAATTTTTTTTTCTGTTGTTCAATTCTTCCAATTATTATTACATTCCACATTATGAAAACAATGGAAGAATAGATCGAAAAAAAAGTCAATTAGTAATGATGATGATGAATAAATTCAAACGATAAAAAATGGAAGTGGAAATTTCCCTACCATAATGGTAATGATGATGATGATGATGATTTGACATGACAATTCGTTCCATTATCGTCGTCGTTTATTGATTGATTGACAATCGATAGATTCCATCATCATCATCATCATCGTCGACAACAATAAGCAGACGACCATTTATTTATTCATTCATCTTCCTAATGATGATGAATTTTTTTTCAAAAAAAAAAGAAAAAAAAACGAGGAAATTTTCTCTGAAACTAACAAAAAAAAAATTTCTCTTTAT